CCCAATTCCCCAGCGCTGATCCCCTCCCCCAATTCCCCAAAAAAAATCTTTTAAAAAAAAAAGAGTGCATAAATGTCGAGTCCAGAAGAGAGAGGACACTGCTGAGACAACCACTTGATGCCGGGGAGCAGTGCCTGAGGGGCGGGGAGGTCCATGTCCAAGGGCAGGGGCCACCCCAGGTACAAGCTGAGACAGAGGAACCGTCCGGAAGGGGGGAGGGGGTGTGGAGACATGTGGCTGGGTTAGCAAGGGCAGCCGCTGAGGGTGCGGGGGATGGACAGAGGGGGGATGGGAGGAGAGGGGACGACGTCTGCCTTCTTGGCCTGTCAGAGCGCACAGACTGGAGACACAGGCACCAGTGGGTTCGGCATCACACTCTAACAGGTGCCAAAATGAAGCCATCGACTTTCCAGACATGATGGCATTCTGGTCAGGTCCTCTGCATTTGCTCCCCAGGAATGGCAGGCAGAGTCCTCAGAGGGAGAGCAGCACAGCAGGAGGCCCACCCAGGGGATCTAAGGTGAAGGAAGGGAGCAGGAGGGAGGGACCAGAGGCTGCAGGCAGTTCCGCGGGGCCAGGGAACCACTGGAACTGCGCCTACTGGGAGGGAGCTGGAAAGCCTGGAGGTGGTGGCTGGGGGGCCCTATGGCAGCATGGAGAGTGGGTGCAGAGCGAGAGGGCTGGAGGAGGAGGGGCCGGGAACCCAGAGGCCGGACGCTGGTACTGAGATCACCAAGAAAGGACAGGAGGGTAAGTCAACAGACGACTCCAAAGCCTGCAAATCCTCATGAACTGAGATATCCAAGCCAACTCTTAACCAACTGAGCCACTCGGCCGGCCCCTACATATGTCTTTTTGAATTAGTGTTTTGGATTTCTTTGAATAAATACCCATTGCCATATTCAAAGAGTGCAGAGTGCTTTCATTTTAGGAACCCAGGACTGCTTAAAAGTAACTTCCAACAGCAGTCAACAACGGCTATTAAGTCCACTATTAAATAATGCAAAAAAAACCTAAAAAAATAAATAAAAGTAACTTCAGACAAATATGTGGAGGGTTTTATTCTGTATCACTGGGTGCCAACAGAACGTGTTTTTAGTAGTTTCCCGTACATCTACATCTGTGCTTAATGTAAAGGCACTGACTATACTTGGGCTATGAAGAAATCTGGGCCCATCTACACCATCTACACCAGCACAGTCTATGCAATGAGCAATGCACGGTGTTCCTCCACACTCTAACAGGCCTTCACAATAAGGAGAGCCTTATTTTCAATAAATCAACAAACAAGTGCTGGCGAGGATGTGAAAGAAAGGGAACTCTAGTACACTGTGGGTGGGATTGTAAACTCATGCAGCCACCATGGAAAACAGTATGGAGGTTCCTCAAAAAATTAAAAATAGAATTACCATATGACCCAGTTCTGGGTATTTATTCAAAGAAATCCAAAACACTAATTCAAAAAAATATATGTAGGGGCCGGCCGAGTGGCTCATTGGTTAAGAGTTGGTTTGGGACACCAGCTCTGAGCAGCAGGGCCGCCGGTTCAGATCCCACATGGGCCAGTGACACTGTGCCCTCTACAGCTAAGATGGTGAACAATAGCTTGACCTGGAGCTGGGCTGCTGTTGAGTGGAAGGTGATGGCATAGGCTGCAGCCCCTGCTGCAGTGGGCTGCTGTAAGCTACCATGAGTGGCTGGCAGCCAGCGTGAGCGGCTGTGAACCACCGTGAGCAGCTAGCTGTCCCATGGCCGGCAACTGATCTGCCTCAACCGGGAAGAGCACAATGATCATAATACCAACATGGCCCAATGAAGCAACATCCTCCACAACTAGACTGAAGAACAAAAGCACAGCAACTTGTCTGTTCCCCTTCCCGATTCCCCAACACTGTTCCCCTCCCCCAATTCCCCAATAAAATCTTTTTAAAAAAAGATATATGTACCCCTATGTTCACTGCAGCATTATTTACAGTAGCCAAGATACAGAAGCAACCTAAGTGTCCTTCAATGGATGACGGGACAAAGAAGAGGTGGTACATATATACAATGAAATAGTACTAAGCCATAAAAAAGAATAAAATCTTGCCATTTGCGATAACATAGATGGACCTAGAAGGTATTATGCTAAGTGAAAAAAGTCAGAGAAAGATAAATACCATATGATTTTACTTATAAGTGGAAGCTAAAAACCAAAAATGAACAAAACAAACTCAAAGATACAGAGAATAAACTGATGGTCACCACATGGGAGAGGAGTTGAGGGGATGGGCCAGGAGGTGAAGGGATTAATTAGTACAAACTGCCAGTTATAAAAACAGTCACAGGATGTACAGGATAGCATAGGAAATATAGTCAATAATATTGTAATAACTATGTACAGTGTCAGATGGGCACTAGGTTTATCAGGGTGATCACTTTGTAAATTATATACATGTCTAACCACTATGTTTGTACACCTGAGATTAATATTGTATGTCAACTGTAACTGAAAAATAAATTAACAAAATAAAATAAAGGAGAGCCTTCTTTATACTTTTTAAAGTTTTCAAATTAAATGCCATTCTAAGGATTACCCTATGATTGTTTCTAGAAGTAGAATATTTCTATCTAAACGAGAACTTCATATTTCAACCCTTAAAGCCAGTCACTGCATTCAAGCACAAATTCCTTACTCAGGAAAAAAACCTAAAGGCTATTTATTTTTACTCATGTTCATAAGTTATTCCCAAGAATCAGAAACAGCATTCCACATTGATGTGCAACTGGACATCAAAAAGAGCGAGACGTGTATATAACATAAAGTCTTTGTTCAAAGTTAAGAGTTTATTCAATAATTTTAAAACTGTTCTGAGTAAATGTTTTGGGAAAGCAACTGGTATCTGAAGACTTCTCTAGACACAAAATGCTTATCTGGGGGGAAAAAGGGAAAAAAAAGAAAGGTACAGACAGTCTCATAAGTTAAAAGAAAAAAAAAGTAGGGGCGGCCAGTTAGCTCAGTTGGTTAGAGCGCAGGCTCATAACACCAAGGGTGCCGGTTCGATCCCCACATGGGCCACTGAACTGTGCCCTCCACAACTAGATTGAAACAACTACTTGACTTGGAGCTGATGGGTCCTGCAAAAACATACTGTTCGCCAATTAAAAAAACAAAAAAAGTAAACTGTGTTCTGTCCCCAACTATTAAGAGACAGGCTCAGAGTCAGAATGCACTGGATCTGAGTCCCCATCTGCCTCCACCAGTTGTGTGACCTCTGATGTGTCACCCACCTTCCCTGGCCTCAGATGACACCGTGGGCAGAGCTGTCACACACCCTCACAAGGCCAAGGGCATCTTGGCACATGTCACCTCCCTGGGAGTTTACTATGTGCCTCGCATGTCACATTCGTTTAGGCCCCATCACTACAAGACAGGCACCACCCTACAGAGAACACTTGTGCCTTTTACAGCAGAACGGTTTGCGAAATGAGAAACAGAAGGCAGCTATAAAATGGAGTCAAGAAAACTGACATGAAATGATAACAGTTGGGGGAAATTCTCCAATAGAGGCTTCTAGATTTCCTTCTGTAAACTGGGTTCCTCAACATCCTAAACACTTCTGGACAGAGAACATTTTAAACCCCTCCCCCAAATGAATACACTTTCATTGTATGGCAACAATGGCCTCTTCTGCCTAACTCAGCTCTCTGCCTCATTAGCTATCGGCACTTCCTAGGAGGCTGTGTGTGTACTGCGTGACCCCATCCTGTGCTTCTCACAAGACAACCTCGTGACCTACCTTAAAGTTGGGCTGGGCGAAGCACCGGGCGACAGCGATCATGGAGGCGGTCAGTGGGCCAGAGACGCCAATGGTGGTCAGAAATTCAGAGATGTTGGGTGTAAGGCGAAAAGGGACAGGACGGTTGGCATCTAAGTCTCCAGTCGCATCGTTTATATCAAATCGAAAGTAGGCAACATTCAGTTTACCGGTGTCCTGAATTTCAGAAGGAGACATTTTAGGAACGTAAACAGCAGAGTGCAGACATCTAAGGAGAGGGTCTGGCTATTCATCCCAAGTTACCTGAGCAATCTGTAACATCTCGGGGTTGAGTCTATTTAAATGCAAGACAAATTCTGCAAAGCCAATCAGTGCAAGCTGGATGGTGAACATCTTCCGGAATGTCCAGTAGTCTGTGGCATTGGGAAAGGTGTGCAAAGCCCACTCTTTCAGCATGCTGCGTGGCACCATGTTGCTCTGAACTTCCTTGAGGATGTCTCGAAGGACCTGGGATGATACACACTCCATGACGTTTCTGTCTCACAATTTTTTTCCTCAAAAGGAAAACTCTCACATCGTAATTTCTTAGCACCAGTAGAGTGAATTTTGTCAACAGATACATAAGCAGTGTCCTGACTAAACATTAGGATGGACAAGATCAGTCAATTTCCCTCCAGGGTTCCATGTCTTGTGCTTAAAGCAACAATGGAGCTAAATTAGGGGTCAGCAAATGGGCTCACAAGCCACATGTGGCTCTTTGGGTACGTTCTGTCTCAAAAGTTTGCCAACCCCTGGAAGAGCCAATCCTGTCCCTCACAACAATTTAAAAATTATTTGAGAGCCATAAATATATTTTTACATAATCACCATTATGTAAATAATATCCTGTAAAAATTTCTAAATGAAACTAGATAGTTTTATTTTCATTTTCAATTTTACTTCAGAGCCGCAGTTTGCTGACCCCTGGTCTAAATGAAAGCCTCACCTGCATGATGATACCTGTCTCACCAAAAACTTAGGTAAATATCTGAATACAATAATGTGCTAACTACAAAATATGCCAGGCCAGTTAACAAAGAGAACAAAAACACAGGTGGATACCAACACCATTTCATGTCTAAGACTATTAAAGACAAAAGTTTTATAAATCGAAGGAGCTAGTCTAAAATTAGAGCAGCTGCTACACAACACTTTAAACTGAATTCTGTACTGGAAGGCTCACTAGACTATTGGAAACAACACAAATTTAGAGATGGCCTCAATAAAAAGTTTACTGAGTTCATTTAGTTCCTGTTAGAGCAACTGGTAAAAAGGTACAAGGTCTATTCTGGGCGAAGTCCTACCCATCGTCTCTGAATAACCACTAGAATGCAGGCCCTAAGCAACCAAGGACCATGCAGACCGTCAAGCACACGTTCAGTTTCTTTTCGTTTCCTCGTTTGTAAAAAGGAAAGAAGCACTCCTGAGACAGCAGAGTGGACTTCCAAAATGTGCTCCTCCACAAAAGCCACAACAACACTGGCAAAAATCAACAAAATAATCATTTCCAGAACTCTGGAAATTAAACAAAGGCTTACAACAATCTGAGCAGCTTTTACTCAAGAAAAATAGACTGAATCTTGGTGAGAACAGTGAGCTTTGTGGCATTCTAATTGTCCTTTTTCCATCTCCTTCTCCACAGCTCCATCCAGCACAGCCCGGCAACCACGGGAGCTACAAAAACTAGCAGCCTAACAGTGACTGGAGTGAGCAGAATGAGTTTGGTGATTTCCCCCCCAAAAGCTTCATCTCCAGAGAACTGACACAATTTGACCTGTCTGGCAGCTTCCTTGATCGGGCTTGTCTCTGTTTGACTGAACTCAGAGTTCACAGTGAGGAACACCCTATTTGAAGGCATTTGTTGAAAACAATCAGCGACAACAGTTTAAAATCGATGGTGCTGAGGCAGTGACACCAGCTGGAGCACACGAGGTTGCCAAACAAGACAGCGAGCTGGGCAATGAGATGACATACGGGACTTTGAAAAGCTCCAACATACTCTTGGGAATCTAGGAGGCCACTCTCATTGCTCATGAAAAACCCCCAAAGGCGCTATGCACTCACCTATGGTTGACCTTGTGACTCTGCAAAAGCAGAAAGTGAAGGTGCAGGCAGTTGTAAACTTCCTGGCCAGGCTGAAGGCATGCCCCAACACACACAAACACACACACACACACACACACACACACACACACACACATCCATCACATTCATGCATGCACACATGCATACACACACAGGTCCTCGAAAGAGGTGTAAGATTTATTGGGTCAAGGCATGTAAGAAATCGCTGTGAAACCTTTAGCTGACTGCTGAGCTAACTGAGCAGAGACCAATGATTCCACATGACAAAACACGGACTTTACAGATTTCCAGGAAAGTCACTAAACAAACACAACAACAAACCTTGGGGGGAAGGATCTGATTTCTACAGTTGCCACATTATATTATTTTAAATGTCCAGTTTTCAACAAAAAAATTATGACATGCAAAGAATCAGAACGACACAGCCAATATACAGGAAAGTCAAGTTACTTGTATTAAGTCTCTTATATCTAAAGTATATAAAGCATGCTTAGAATCAACAACAAAAAAAAAGACAAATCACCCAATTTAAAAATGAGCAAAGGGCTTGAATAGACTTTTCTCCAAAGAAAATATGCAAATACCCAACTAGCACGTGAAAAGATGCTCAATTTCAATAGTTATCTACAAAATGAGCTAGCACTTCACACCCACTAAGACAGCCATAATAAAAAAGATACACAATAATAAGTATTGACAAGAATAATGTAGAGAAATTAGAACTCTTATTCACTGAGTGGTCATTTTGGGAAACAGTTTCACAATTCACCAAAATGTTAAAGATGTAAGTTACCACATAACCCAGCAATTCTACTACTAGGTATATATAATATCTAAGAGAAATGAAGACATATGTCCACATAAAAACTTGTACATGAAAGTTCACGGCAGCATTAGTCATAATGCTCAAAAAGTATAAACAATCCAAAAGTATAAATAACCCAAAAGTCCATCAACTGATGAATAGATAATTTAAACGTAGTCTACAGGGAACACTACTCGGCAATAAAAAGAAGCAAACTACTGATTCATGCTACACAACGGATGGAACTTTGAAAACATTATACCAAGTGACAGAAGCCAGCCATGAAAGACCACACAGTGTATGGCTCCATTTATATGATACGTCCAGAATAAGCCAATTCACAGAGACAGAAACATCTGTGGTTGTCAGGGGCTGGGGATAGAGAGCAATAGGGCATGACTAGTAATGGGTATGAGGTTTCTTTTTGGGGTGATGAAATGTTTTAAAGATAGATAATGAATGCACAATTCTGAATATACTAAAATCATTGAGCTGTACATTTTAAAGGGTGAATTTTATGGCATATAAATTATGTCTCAATAAAGGTGTTATAAAAATGCAAAAGATAAAGCAGCAGAGTTAATAATGTAACAAACTAGGGTACAAAGAATAACAGGGCATAAAGCTGGGATCATTTTGTGTTGTCACCTCTCTAGCTGGTCCAGCAGGACCCCAGCACTGTTTCTAGGCTGGACCAACATCAGCTTCATCAGGTACACATGCTGTTTATAAAACAACAGGGAAATCCTGAGGTAGGCATGTATTTGCAAATAGAGGCCACTTGCTTCCACACTGTCAAAGGTAAATGGAGCCTTAAAAACACAATCCATTCATCTCCTGCAAGCACCTCAAAACTGCCCATGGTCCAGAGTGACCTGTGCCCCAATGAAGCCTTTACACCAATTCCCAAGGGAGGTGACAAGCTGTCCTCAGAGGCCAGTCAAAACAGAGAGATTTCCCTCGCTCTGCCTGCACAACAAGTGAGGTGGCGGCAGGCCCCATGGCCTGGACCACCCACCTGCACCCTCAGGTCCTGCCTGCACTCTGAGCACTGCCCTCCATCTTCCTAAACAAAATAAAGTCCTCCAGGCCCCAGACTAACTGAAGTAAGTCCCTGGGAGAGTGGAGGCAAGGTCACAGCTTCCAGCTGTGCTGTCTTCCTACTGTGAGGCCCTCTCAGAAGTATGGGCAGGACCAGGGCAGCCTCGGGGTAGTGGTGGGGGAGGCCAAAACAGCTGCCCCTTGGGGAGACACTCAAACTGGTCTCATTAGAGCCCACTCCTGCCCTACCCTCAACCCAGGGCAGGGATCTGCAGGTACAGGGAACTCTGTCTGCCCAATGGGTGTCTGCGGTGGCACCGTGTTCCCACAGGCGACCAAGACACCTGGGCCTGGTGAGCTACCAGGTTCGCCACTTTCTGTGCTTTGGAGAGGGTACCCAGTGCAGAGACTACATTACCTAATGCCCCAGCAGGAAGCCAGGTGAACGTGAACATGAAGTGGATAAATAGCCTCACATCACATAGGCCAGGTTTGGCTGCCAATGAGTTTGCCATAAAGTTATTTTTTAAATTCTAGCTTCTGAGCTGTTTGGTAAGTAAAGAATTAGGAAATCTCCAGGGATGAAAACTTATCCCTTTGACCTGTTACAACAAACAAACCTGTTACAGCAAATGTCACTTCACTAAGGTCCATGGCCATCTCACTTATCCCATCGCACAAGTCCAAGCAAGGAAGCTCAGTGCCCCGCCACCACACACTGCTTTTCTCAGCACACTCGACATGGAAGCACCACCACAGAAAGCGGCCGCAGCTGAGGGAGGTCCTGCCTGTCCCGATTCGGTACCTGGTGGCTGGCTTGGGTCCCGCGAGCCTGCACGGTGGCCAGTCTGTCGTAATACCGGGAGATGGGGTTGTCGTGCTCGATGCCCTTCTTGGCACAGCGCTGCTTGTAGATCTCCACAAGGGACAGGGAAGACGGGTTGTCCTCCACGAGGCGCATCTGTGGGGACACGGCCACAACACGCGGAACTGGGGAAGAGAGGGGAGAGGAGGGTCAGCTGAGAGCCAGCGGCCAGGGTCAGCATCTCTCACCTTCAGGGACGTCCTGGCAGCACAGGCGACTGAGCTGCCGTGGGCGGAGGGAGGAAGCATGCGTGGGCTAAAGCTGGAAGGACAATGGTCACACAGCGCGTACTGACGCAACTCGGGGCACTAAGCACATCCTATTGATAACAAAGCCTGAGCTGCCATCAACCTGTGTTTAAGACACAGGTGAAAAGAAATTATCTAGGAGGCAATCTTAAAAAACAAAAAATAGGGCTGGCCGAGTGGCGCATTGATTAGGAATTGGCTTGAGATGCCAGCTCTGAGCAGCAGGGCCCCAGTTCGGATCCCACATATGAGGGGCAGTGACACTGTGCCCTCTACAGCTAAGATGGTGAACAACAGCTCGACCTGGAGCTGGGCTGCCATGAGTCACTGATGACGGCGTAGGCTGCAGTGGGGCTGGTGTGGGGCTAGCCAGCAGCTGGCATGAGCTTTCGTGAGCCGCCGTGAGCGGCCGTCCAATGGCCAGTGAGCGACTGCCTCATCTGGGAAGAGCACAATGATAATACCAACATGGGCCAGTGAAGCAGCGTCCTCCACAACTAGACTGAAGAACAAAAGGACAGCAACTTGTCTGTTCCCCTTCCCCGATTCCCCAATAAAATCTTTAAAAAAATAAATAAATAAAATAAAATAAAGAGACTGCCAAGAGCACTGGCGCTGCCGAGCCAATGAGCACAGCTGTGACCCTGTGCCGCCCCCACTGTCTCTAGGCCACCAGAGCCGCCCGCCTGTGGGCTGAGTGTCGGCGTGGGACACACAGATGCTGACTTCTGACAAACAGTTAATTCGATTTAATGTCAGTGGGACCACAGCTACTGGAGTGCTGCCACGGCTTCTATCCACAAAGAAACTCCAAAGGGCCTCCAGGGTACACATCTGGACTGCCGTGGGCAGGGAACGACACTATAGATCACATTACATACATGCTAACAACCACTTAGCTTTCTATAGACTTGTGTTTTGGGTTTTTTTTTTTAAGATTTTTTTTTTATTGGGGAATTGGGGGGATGGCAACAGTGCTAGGGAATTGGGGGAAGGGGAACAGACAAGTTGCTGTCATTTTTTGTTCTTCAGTCTAGTTGTGGAGGATGTTGCTTCGCTGGCCCAAGTTGGCACCATCATTGCGCTCTTCCCGGGCGAGGCAGATGAGTCGCCGGCCTCTGGACGGCCGCTCACTGCAGCTGCTGGCAGCTCACGCTGGCTGCTGGCTACATACAGTAGCCCATGGCAACCCACTGTCACAGGGGCTGCAGCCTACGCCATCGCTGGCGACTCCCAGCAGCCCAGCTCCAGGTAGAGCTGTTGTTCAGCATCTTAGCTGTGGAGGGCAGTGTCACTGGCCCTCATATGTGGGATCCGAACCGGGGCCCTCTGGCGTCCCAAGCCAGTTCTTAACCATCACGCCACTCGGCCAGCCCTATAGACTTGTTTTTTAATCTACTTCTCATTTGGGGGCTATTAAGGGTAAGAGATTTTAGGTCAAAATGGGTTGGATTACGCCTTAGCTATCAGAAGAAATTTCCATACACAACTAGATAATAAGCATTGCAATGGGCTCCTAACCTCAGGGATTAAAAGCTAAAATATTTTAACGATGGTTTTCTTCTCTGGGTGGAATTATAGGTGTCTCATCTATGCCCATTACAGACAGAAACAGGCCACTTGTGAATCACCCATGACATCTCGGTTACGGAAGACCTCACTCTTGCAGCTGGCTGCCACCTGCCCAAGGTTTCGGGCCTTCAGAGCCTCTCGACTTGCCCAAGTCTTGCGTTTCAGTCCCTGAAGCTGAGCTCGGGCAGTGCGCACGCTGCAGTGTGGGGTCCCGGAGACCACACTTAACACTGCAATGTGCCGGGAGCAAGCCCACAAGCAACCCTCATTCAGCCCAGGTTTCCCCAAGCATGGCGGACTCCTGGGGAAGTGAAGATGGCGTGTGCACAGGGACGGCGCCTTCTCTTCCAAATATGCCTCAGAGGACCCATCTCGCAGCAAGGAGCCTCAAGGCCGGGAGGGGCTTCCTGAAGGAGCAGGGGCTCTGTCGGGGGACCTGTCCCTCTTCACACGGCCTTCCCTGCAGGGTGTCGCTCAGGGCACCCCCAGCTGCTGACGGATGCTGCACATGACACCCTCAGAGGCTAAGGTGCGCTGTGTGCCCCAGCCCCGCATGCAGCTCTCCCACCTGTGAAAAACAAGTGCCTCTTCGTGGTTTCCTTCCTCTTCTCCAAGCAGGGGTTTAGCAGGCGGAGCAGCTGCAGCACACGCTCCTCCCTCCGCGACTCCGTCAGGCAGGCGTCGTTCATGACTAGGTACGGGTAGATCTTGCCGTTGTGCCCACGAATGTACAGTCTCCTGGCCGCAGTGTTGTGCTTCTGTACAATTTCCACCCTGGGCATAAACCTACCGAAACAAGCAAACCATGAAACACCAACTCTCCAAGCCTCGATGTCCAATCCTTTGCTTTAAGAAGAAAATGGAGCTTTCCAAAAGCAGCTTTCAGAGCTATCATGGAAAAAACAGACTGTGCAGTTACAGCAGTCATTTGTTAATTAAGTCACACCCCATCGCATTCTGACAAGGTATAAACAGTGCAATAATATCACAAAACGAGGTAAGAGACCACAGCAGAGGGAAAACAAAAGGCAAAAAAGATGAAGCTGAGATTAAAAAGAATCATGCCAGAGGTCCTGCGTCAGGAGCTACAGATGGGCCGCCAGCCTGGCCCTGAGCACAGCAGAGCTGGGAGGGCCCAGGTCTGGCGGTCAGGAGCAGGATGGTCCTGTCTGGCACTCGCAGGTGGCTCGAGGAGTGGGCGTGGGGCCTGGCACACACCTGCCCTCACCCTCCTCACCATGGGCCTTGGCTGCTGCCAGAAGTCAAGGAGGAGGAGGGCTGGTCGGGGCTCGAGTCAGGTTTGGAGGAAAGGGAAACCGAATTCTGGACTATGGAGAACCAGAGCCCTGCGTCCGATTTAGAAATAAAATAAACACCTATGTGTTAATGGAAGCCTCTTCACAGTACTCTTTACATTTCAAGTGAGATGCAACATACTCTATTAAATTTTACAACTGTCTGATTCTGTTTTGAATATGCTTTAAGAATTTACAGAAGACCAGGAAACTATTTTGTCAAGTTCTGCAGTGATTCAGAAAAGGTTCTTTCGGAAGCAAACACAAACTTGACCCAAAAGGACACTTAACCCATCGATTAAACCAGGCCCTTTCAGGGGCTTCATCACCCAAATGCTAGAACAACCTCGTGCTCTCTGAAACACTGGAAGGGGTCTGCCCTGCAGGCCTGTCACAGGCTCTGCCTGCTGGGGATGTGTCAGTGGCCACGCCAGGCCAGGCACACTCACCGAGCAATCTTGATATAATAATGTGTCGGCTTTGGCATCAGAAACTCCCCCGGGATTTCTACTTCCGCTGTCTGCGCTGAAAAATTGCTTAAAAAACGGCACTTTTCTTCTATGAGGAAGAATTTTGGAAGCTGCTTCGTTTTGGCCTCCAGGATTTTGATCCACTTTTTCAATTTGGAAATAAGATTATGAAGCTTCATGGATCCTGGAACACTGAAGTCGAAATCTTCAAAATAAAACATGATTAAGAACATCTTTAGTCCTCTGGGCTGTTTCTCATCCACCCCAAAATCACTGCGCAAGCAACCTCCCAGCCACACACAGCCCTATTTTTCATCTAGGTTGGGGCCAACCCCCAGAATTCCTCTTGCTCGGTAAAGCGAAGCTGAGGCCCAAAAGAACAAGCGAAGCCCTGGTGTCGGCCAGCTCTCCCAGTGTCCAGGACAGGCCGCCAACACAGAACCTCACCCCCAACCCCAAAGGGTCGCCTGTAGGAAGGCCCCAGGTCCCCAGGAGACCCCTAAACAAACGTCTCGATGCTGTATCTCTGAGGTACTTTAAATATCTAAAAATGTGAGCCATTTATTCTATGTATCAGTGAAGAAAAAATGTTTTAGAAACAATTTAAAAAGTAGTAATTAGTGAAATGTTTCTTTTAGCTCTGGGAAATTTTACGAGATAAATCTTGTTCTCACATGATAATCATCCATAGATTGACACTCAAGACATAAAAACCTGCAGAAGTCACTCAGGCTGGAGTCTGGGACCTGGTGCTCCCGGCAGGAGAGGGGCTACGCAGGCCCCTCTGTCAGGAGAACAGGCAGGTCAGTGGGAGGGAGGCAGAGCGAGGAGCAGGGACAAACACTCCCAGCGACATGCGACTCCTGCGCACGCTAGGGGACCAGGATCTCTATCTAACAGATGTAAACTCAGGCAAAGGGAGATTGGCCCATTTACCTCAGATCACACAGAGCGTGGTGGTGCCAGGATTCATGCTCCCATGGGTCTAGGAAAATGCATGAACCTGAACCAGGAACAAGTAGTAAAAATACAATCTACCTATCATTCTGCCACGGGAATCCACTACAAGCTTGAACTTCACTTGTCACCTCGAGCCCTGCACCTTTGAGTCTCACTGTCTTATCTTATTCACACTGCTGACTTTTCCCACGAAAACCAAGTGGAGGGAGGGGTCAGGGAGCAGAAGGTTCTTTGAAACCATCCTTTTCTATCCCCTGAGGTGGAGCCTGGCACGCTGGCTCCAAACCGCAACCCTGCACTGGAGAGACGCACATGTCGTCCCGGGTGGTGGGTGTCATGGCTTCCTTGGGATCTGAGCCTAAACACAGCACGACCAGCTCTCCCAGGACAGGGGTAAGAAAAGCAATGGCTACAATTATCTCATATGTTAAAGGCTGAGGAGAAACAGTGAGTGGAGCCTCCCCGTGTGCAGGCAGAACAAAGCCAGACTCACCGGTTGTGAACTGGCCCTTCAGCTTCTGGAAGACAGGGTCCTGGGCGGTGGCCTGTGCCCGCCTGGCAAGAGACTCGGAGGCCGCGCTGGAGAACATGGTTGAGACGTTGGACACATTCTCCAGGCCCACCCCAAACGTGCTCACCAACTTCTTGACGAAATTCAGAGTATGGGGGGTAATTTTGGCATCCGACACTGCTCCGCTTTTCTCAAACGCAACAGAGTAACATTTCGCCAGGCCCTGTTGGAGCTGCCGGAGAACCTAGTGGAGAAGAGACCAAACGATTCACAAAAGGGAGCTCTTGACTCAAGCAACTAACCAACAGCCTCTGTCCAGCATGTCCCCACCATCAGGGCCATGGCTGTGACCCCGTGAGACATAGTGTAAAATACGCGTGTGCCCCACACTGTGAGCTGAGTTTTTAACAATGAGGAGTAAGTATCCTGCACATAACAAAAAACCCCAATTCCCCCCACCCGCCTTTTCTGGTCGTGGTCATACCCTCCTGTTGACTAACAGCAGAAAAACCTGATTTTCAGAGGCTTCCGTGTTACTGCCGCATGTCTGTGTGCACAGGGACAAAAGAACACAGCAATAACGGGGCCTCGTGGCCAGCTAAGTAATTATCTGGGCAATAAAGACTGATTACTTCATCACCACTTTATACAAACACCATTAAGGGGGTGGCCTGGCTGCTGAAAAGATCACTGGAGCACTAACTGCAACGTCTGGGGAGTGAATGCTGGTCAGTTACCAATCCATCACTCCCGCTCACGCCCACCGCTGCTGCCTTGTCAGCTGGTGGTATTGGAGTGATTCAGCTCAGACAAGTGAGCAAAAGTGAGCATTTTAGGGGCAGGAATGGTTTCTCAATTTCATCTTCTTTTGAAGTCTTCCACTCCGAATATTTAAGGCTGCACCTGTGTGCCACATTAACTGTTTGCCAGCTCCATCGTTCAGCTCCACACTAAGTATATAAAATGACCCGGCAGCTAACTAAAAATCACACAGCCACAAAAGCACACAGGACATAGTCCTAGACCACAGCCAATACCTCTTCGTGCCAGTTTTCTCTGAACCAGACCATCTGGTCGACGATGCCTTCCAGGGAAGAGAGCAGGGTGGGGTGGAGCTCCCTCTGCATGTGCATGATTCGGCTGCAACGCCACATGGGTGCTGTTGCTCTTATGGGCCCTGGATCTGATGCAGAATGGGACTGGTTACCCACTGAACTTGGCTGCTGCTGTCCAGAATCTGAGAGCAACACACACAACGCCAATGTCAGCGCAAAACTGACCGATGGAGAGCTCGGTGCTCTAGAGGACCCACCGACCAAAGGAACGCTGGTTCCTGCCGGTGTGCTAACACATCATGAGGCCGTTTCCCCAGGGACTATGGGAGATCCCCTGGTTCTAAGGAGAGGTGCACTGAGGGACTCGGGCATAGAGTGTCTACTAGCTGGCTTCACATGGTTCAGTAGGAAGTGCACATGTTGACAAAAAAGCAAATGTGGGGGCACGCAAGCTGGTGAGCCTACGAGAGGCTATACAAGGGTTCAGGGTACTGTCCTTTTCTAAATGTTCAGGAAAAGTATGTTATAATACATTCCTTGTACTATAGCTCAGAAAATCTAAAAGTAGTTACAAGCAAATCTATACTTTTTTCATCTAGGAGAACCAAACCACATGTGTAAAATATTTTTGAAAACCAGTCACTTAATGTATGAAAAACATGTTATAAAATCCCTGACCCCCTATTTTTCTAGCTTTAGCTCATTTAGAATAAAAATTCTTCATTTTGAAATGAGCATATCACGACCCAGGAGTTCAGAGATGACTGTGCGTCTCTTAACCCACCAGCTCGTGGGCGGGCGATGTCACCACAGTCCAGCAGTCACCTTCTTAGAAAGACTCTAGCCTTGCAGCATGAATGTCTGGGTATTAAAAACATCACAAAGCAAATGGTCCTTAATTTACGAAGTACCATGCTTAGTGAGTAACTAAAGCTATCAAATAAACTACTTCTTTGTACACTGGGACTACTCAAAATCGATTAAAAATCGTATATTTTGAGTAAATTTTTGTTATCGATTGGGTTGTCAGAAAAGTCATGACACGTTTTTGCAAGGAAAAACAGAAAAAATACGTCATGACTTTTCTGACAACCCAATAGTATGACTGACTGGTTTCTATGCTGATCATTCTGGCAGCTGAAGACATTCCTTGTAACCTAAGTAACACAAACATAGTAATTGACATTTACACCGCTTACCAGGATGTATTAAAACTAACGAGGCAAGTTAAACTTTGTAGTTATCTATAGCTAAAAAGTTCATCTATGATTTCTACATAAGGATCAAATCACTCAGGTAAATGGACGTCCAATTACATTACGGCAAAGGAGAACCAGAAACTTCCCCAAGATCAGGCTTTGCCTTCTGGCCCCAAAGTGCCCTCTCACTGGCTAAAGGAAAGACCAGCCCACATGTCAGGAAGTCAGCTGTGGGGCAGGAGTGTGTCCACAGCAGTCTGGACGTGGGATGCCCTCAGAAACAAGCCCTCCATGGCCTGGCCAGCTGGCCCCACCCAACACTTACCGCTCTTGTAGCGTTCCCGCTGCTCTATTTTCAGGGTCAGGTACAGGGTCCGGATGGGGAAGTAGACAGCCTGGGGATACACTCGTCCGACCTGCTCAGAGACATGGAGTAATGAAGAGCACCACTCACCACTGTGCTTCTGGATGAAGACAGCTGGTAGGAAATAACTGATGTCAATCATAAATGGGTGGCTGCTCTGCACTTGGAGCAAGGAAGCAAATCTGCACCACTGATCAGACACAGGAGGGCAGATTAAAGAGCAGGTAAAACACCTAGTTTAGCTTTAAAAAATCCAAGACAGATCAACACGGTGCACGGCAGTTCTGCATGGAGACTGTGACTGACACAGAAACCACGCTTTCATTTGAGTCAATAAATCTCAGGAAGGCAAAATGCACAAGCGCCTGGATCGCACAGGAAAACACAAACTGACACCAGTCAGTCTTTGTATTTGGCACTGTTCACTGGGAATTGTGAAACGATTCCCACTAAGTGACAATTAGGCTCATTAGTGAAAAGCTTTACTCTGCATAACTGCAGCAAGGAGGAAATTGAAAATTTCCTACTTAAGGTAAGAAAAACCAGTTTTATCAAACTGGGGTTCTATGGCTCCTTCGAAAGTGATGAGCACGCAAGAGTGAGCGCTCTGAGCAACAGCAGTTTGATGCCTGGCCCGAGCTGAGCTGCCGCTGAGCTGCCAACAGATGGTAGGATGGCTCAGCTAATAAAAATTAAAAAAAAAAAAAGTGCCAAGCACATATTATCTAGCTCTGCCACAGGGCGGCTGGCTAATGTACATTAAGACATGGTCTATGAATGACAATACAAATAGACCAAATCTACATCCAGATAGATAAACCCCAAGCAAAATGCCTGTATCCAGAAACATAGCTACCTCCTCTCAAAGGAAAAAACAAAACCATTTCTGGGTGCAGTGCGGATGATGCACCGCATGTAAAAAGTAAATCACAAAATGATGAGCGGCACATTCCTAAGTGCTTGGTGCCAATGCTGTTCATCCATGAAAAGGTACGTGACTATAACTTTATAAAAGGCAAGTGCAGTCAAAGGTGCTATATCCGAGACTGAACTGTCTCCAAATTTCTACTATTTGGGTCGGTCCTCTAATCCCAACATTCGGGAACCATTCTCAAATAATGGTCATGAAAACCACCTGTCCAATCCCCTAACCCCACCCCAGTGTACACAACTTTCAACCCCTAACAGCTGCAGTCGAGCAACTGCACAAAGGGCAACAACCACCACACTCATGTGTGACTTTTATTCTGAAGGAAAGCTCAAAGAGCTCCCAGCACAGGACAGCAAAGCAGCTACAAAGTTATCAACCAGATACATATTTCACTGTGACTAACTCTCAGAATACTCATTAGTAATTTTACATTTTAAGGCAATGTTTCTTTTACTTGCATCTTATATGGCAACTTATGTGGCAACGTGTTCAAGCAAAGAAATTACCATTTTAACACTGTAATGTAGATTATTTCATTTCAAACCTGAGATATTCTTCAATCACTTTTAATTGTGCTTTCTATCAAGTGATATCTAAATGTGTACATGTTCCCATTATCTTTTATTTTAAATACTTTGAGCATGCACATTTTCTTTCTGGAAAAAAGAACATGAAATGAAGAAATAGTTTCTTTTTTGTGAACAAAGACAGCCGGTTATTCCCACCTGGCTAATAAGGTTCAAAAGCAGCTTTCCTTCTGAGCCAACCAGGCAGGTGAGTAGCTGTGGGATCCAGGCCAGCCACTGGATGGGTGGCACGCCGATGCAGTACTTGTCGACAGCATCTGCCAAAGTATTTTTGTCATCATCAAAACTCAAAAGCCACAGCACCTAAGATAGAAGAAAAAATTCTAGAGTTGAATGAAAATCCTGAGGCCCTTAAATGACTTTTTCGCCACACTAAAATACCACGTAGAGGGCCGGCCGAGTGGCACGATGGTTAAGAACTGGCTTGGGACGCCCGAGGGCCCCGGTTCAGATCCCACATATGAGGGCCAGTGACACTGCCCTCCACAGCTAAGATGCGGAACAATAGCTCAACCTGGAGCTGGGCTGCCATGAGTCGCCGGCGACAGCATAGGCTGCAACCCCTGCTGCAGCGGGTTGCCATGGGCTACTGTGTGTAGCCAGCAGCCGCCGTGAGCGGCTGTCCAGAAGCCGGCGACTGATCTGCCTCGCCTGGAAAGAACGCAATGATGGTGCCAACTTGGGCCAATGAAGCAACATCCTCCACAACTAGACTGAAGAACAAAAAAAAAAAACGACAGCAACTTGTCTGTTCCCCTTCCCCCAATTCCCCAATTTAAAAAAAATAAAATAAAATACCATGTAGAGTAGCTTGACTGGGAATGTGGAACATATTTACCAAAGGGCCAACAATATGCTAAGCCTAACAGATAAATCTTACAGATAAATGAAACCAAAATTTGAATGAAGTTTTTATCTAGATTTAGCTTTAATGCCAATTACTTACTGATTCAATCAGCTGGCGAGTGGTGGCCAGTGACGCTAGGAAGCAACAGTAGATGCAAGGGCCTTCCACCCAGCTAATTCACTTGTGATCACTCCGAAACAATGGACTTTTTTTTTTAAGATTTTTTTTTTTAATTGGGGAATTGGGGGAGAGGAACAGCATTGGGGAATTGGGGAAGGGGAACAGACAAGTTGCTGTACTTTTTTTTCTTCAGTCTAGTTATGGAGGACGTCGCTTCACTGGCCCATGTTGGTATTATCACTGCGTTCCTCCCGGGTGAGGCAGATTGGTCACCGGCCACTGGACGGCCGTTCACGCCAGCTGCCGGCCAGTCCCACTGCAGCCTATGCCATCACCGGCGACTCATGGCAGCACAGCTCCAGGTGGAGCTGATGTTCCACTGTCTTCGCTGTAGAGGGCATTGCGTCACTGGCCCTCATATGGGATCCGAACCGGGGCCCTGCTGCTGAGAGCTGGCGTCCCAAGCCAACTCCTAACCAACGCGCCACTCAGCCAGCCCCCAAACAATGGACTTTTACTAAGAACCCCAGATGAACACTACCCTACCATCAGGAAGGCCACATGTTAGCAGCCTAGTGTCCTTGGATGTCTGAAACAATGACATCTAGAAGTAAGCAGATTTGGAATCAGGTAGTTTCTTTGTGTTGCAGTAGTTGGTATATTTCTATAGTCAGTTATAACCACTATATGCTGATGTACATTCCAAATTTTGACATCACATCAAGGAATTCTAAAAAAATCCCAACCTTTAATGGACAAAACAGAAAAGCAGAATAACTTATTCTTAAGTTTTCTGCAAGAATTAATTCTGGGTTGTATGTATGTTTCTTGGCAGGGACGAGAGGGAGCAATACTGAAGAATGAATCTCAACCTCAAGCGATCCTCATTGGGCACTGGGCACACCTGGCACCATAATCGGGCAACGTGGGACGAGAATGCAAGCAACCATGACCTCACCCTGTAGTGTGTGCAGAAATCATGCGATTCAATGTGACCTGCAACTAGAGCTGACCAGCTCTGTGATGTGTGCATTGTCCCCGCAGGTGAGAGATCAGAATCTAATGGGTGTCTAGCAGGTAAGTTCTCCTTGCAGACCCTTTGCAGGAACCTCTGTCTAGTGTGAGATTCTACAGAGAACACTGGACTCAAATCCTAAAACCCAGACTCCAGGCTCAGTTTTGCTGCTTTAAAGTCCTGGGATCCTGAATATGTCCAGGCCTCAGTTTTCTCAGCTTTAATATGGAACTATGGAGGATACTTTGAAAAGTGATGACAATTCAGAGTTAAGGAATGAAATGAGCCTCACAACCAGCATGGATTCAGAAATCATTGAATTTTCATTGAAACTTGATCTTTGGTCAAAGTTAACTCTTTTGGCCTCACCTTGGCTAAGTATTTTCTTGATTTGCTCTCATTCTGATGCCGGCATGCATGCAGGTAACAGGTAATGGCAGACACGCCAAGATGCAGCTGCCGCTCCTTCACAAAGATGTTTTCCAGGTAATCGCCCCACATGGCCCATGCTTTCACCAGCACGTCATGCATCTGCACAGCTGCCGAAAAGGCTTTGTTTGCTTCCTCAGACCTGTGAGGATGCAAAACCAAAACATAAATTTGGTTGTTTTCCAGGTGAACCTCACGTAACATAAAATTAGCCATTTTACAGTGAACAATCCAGTGGCATTTAGTACATTCAAATGTTGCACAGCTACCACCTCTATGCAGTTCCAAAACATCTGCTTTTGTCCCAAAAGAAAACCCCAAGCCATCAAGCAGTCACTCTCCATTACCCACAACCTCCTGCCCCTGGTGACCACCAATCTGCTCTGACTCCATGGATTTACCTATTTTGCATACTTAATATTAATGAAATCATACATTATGTGATTTATTTTGTGTCTAGCTTTTCACTTAGCATAGTGTTTGAGGTTCATCCATGCTGTAGCATGTATGAGTATTTTATTCCTTTTTATGACTAAATACTATTCCATTGCACGTATATGCCACATTTTGTTTATCCACCATTCGAGTTGTTTTGACATTCTGGCTATTGTGAACAGTGCTGCTGGGAACATTCACGAACAAGTACCTGCATGAGCACCCATTTCCAGTTCTTTTGGGTATATACCTAGGAGTGGAGTTGCTGGGTCATATGATAATTCTGTTTAATTTTTTGAGGAACTGCCAAACTGTTCTCCACAGTGTTTACACCATGTTCGTATCACACCAACAATGTAGAAGACATCATAAGAGAACTACATACCCATATCCCTTATACATACAAATGCAACATCCTCAACAAAATATCAGCAAACCAAATGCAGCAGCATATTTAAGATTATATACAGTGACCAAGTGGGATTTATCCCAGCAAGGCAAAGTGTGGCTCAACACACAAAATTCAATCCATATAATACACCACACTAAAAGAATAAAGGAGAAAAACATAATCATCTTAGTTGAAGAAAAAGCATTTGATGAATTATAACACCTTTTCATGATAAAAAACACTCAACAAACTAGGAACAGAAGGAAACTATCCCAACATAATGAAGGTCATATGTGAAAAACCCACAGCTAACATCATACTAAATGATAAAAGACTGAAAGGTTTTCCTGTAAGATCAGAAACAAGATAAGAATGCCCATTTTCACCAGATCTATTTAAACTTCGTGCTGGAATTCTTAGCGAGAGCAACTAACTAGGCAAGAAAAACAAACAACAAACAGGCATCCAGATTAAAAAGGGAAATGCAAAACTATCTCTATTTGCAGATTACATGATCTTACATGCAGAAACCCCTACCTAAAGAATTCACAAAAGAACTATTACAGCAAATAAATTCAGCAAAGATGAAAAATATAAGATCAATATATAAAATTCAGTAGTATTTTTATATCTTAGCAATGGAAAATCTGAAAATAAACTTAACAATTTATAATAACATCAAAAGGAATACAATATTTTAAAATAAAATTAATATAAATGTAAGACTTGTACACTGAAAATTATAAAACATTAACCTAAATAAATGCACCCTGTGTTCACACACTGGTGACTTAATACTGCTACAGTGGCAATATTCCTCAAATTAATCTACAGATTCAGTGCAATTCCTATCATAACTCCAACTGCCTTTCCTTTCCTTCTTTTTTTTTTTTTTTTTGCAGAAATAACCTAAAATTCATATGGAAATGTTAAGGACCCCAAAAAGCCAAAACAATCTTGAAAAAGAACAAAGTTGAAGAACACTTCCCAATTTCAAAACCTACTACAGAGCAGTAGTAACCAAGACAGTGCAGAAACAGTGTAAGGATGAACACACACATCAACGGAATCAAGTCTTTTCAACAAACGGTGCTGGGGCAGCAGGATATACACATGCAAAAGAATGAATTTTAGACCACTATCCTCATGCTATATAAAAAATTAACTCAAGGGCCGGCCGAGTGGCGCGATGGTTAAGAACTGACTTGGGACGCCAGAGGGCCCCGGTTCGGATCCCACATATAAGGGCCAGTGACACTGCCCTCTACAGCTAAGATGCTGAACAACAGCTCAACCTGGAGCTGGGCTGCCGTGAGTCGCTGGCAATGGCGTAGGCTGCAGCCTCTGTGGCAGTGGGTTGCCATGGGCTACTGTATGTAGCCAGCAGCCAGCGTTAGTGGCCCTCAAGTCGCCGTGAGCGGCCATCCAGAAGCCGGCGACTGATCTGCCTCGGCCGGGAAGAGCGCAATGATGGTGCCAAATTGGGCCAGTGAAGCAACGTCCTCCACAACTAGACTGAAGAACAAAACGACAGCAACTTGTCTGTTCCCCTTCCCCCAATTCCCCAGCGCTGTTCCCATCCCCCAATTCCCCAATAAAAATCTTTAAAAAAAAAAATTAACTCAAAATGGATTCAAGATGTAAATGTAGACCTAAACCTATAAAACTCTTTCAAGAAACCGCAGGAGTAAATCCCGTGACCTTGGGTTAGGCAATGGTGTCTCAGATCCAAAACCAAAAGTACAAGCAACAAAGAAAAACCAGACAAATTGTACTTCATTAAGAACACTATCAAGAAAGATGCTCAACATCATTAGTCATTAAGAAAATGCAAATCAAAACCACAATGAGATACCACTTCACACTCGCTAGAATGGCTATAATCAGAAAAATGGAAAACAGCAAGTGCTGGCGAGGATATGGAGAAACGAAACCACAAACAATGCTGACAGGAATGTAAACTGGTACAGCTACTGTGGAAAACTGGCAGTTTCTCAAAGATAAAGAAGTGCCACATAACCCAGCAATTCCACTCCAAGAGAACTGAAAACATGCTCACACAGAACCTTATACATTAATATTCACAGCAGCGTTATACATAATAGCCAAAAAGTAGAAACAACCCAAATGTCCTTCAGTTGTTGTATGAATAAATGTATGAATATACAACAAAATATTATCTAGCCATAAAAAGAAAGCTCTGAGACATGCTACAACATGGACAAACCTTAAAAACATTATGCTAAGTCAAAGGAGCCAGACTCAAAGGCCACGTTGTGTATGATGTTATTTATACAAAATGTTCAGAAGAGGTAAATCATAGACACAGAAAGATTAGGAATGGTTGTCAGGGGACAAAGGGGAGAAGAGGAAGTGACTATTAATAGGTATGTGGTTTCCTTTGGGGATGATGGAAATGTTCTAGAATAGATAGTAGTGATGGTTGTACAATAGTGTGAATATACTAAAACCCACTGAATTATACACTTTCAAATGGTGTATTTTGTCATGTGAATCTAAAACTTAAAAAAAAAAAAGGATGAAACACTTGTATCTTGCGAAAATCACTTCCTAATTTTAAAATAAGCCAAAAATGCAACCTCTATATACTGAAAATTGAAAAGTGAGCTGTAAAGCTCTATATATGGCAACAGGCAGCATCTTATAAGTACATCTCATTTGTATCCATTTAATACAATTTCATCTGATGTTCATTTCTCCACAACAGGGTACGGCAACCTTTTTCTGTAATGGGCCAATCCGTAAATGGCTTAGGCTTTGCGGGCCATACAATTTCTGTCACAACTTCTCGACTCTGTGGCTGGAGCATGAGCAGCCACAGACACATCAATGGTGTGCTGAGTGCCAGTGCGTCATGTACAAAATCCAGACGCTGGCTGGATGTGGCCTGCAGGCCACAGGTGACTGACCCCCTGCCTAAAACAAGGATCATCTCCAGAAAAGAGATCAGCTCCGTTTCCAAACAGCATGCCGAGAAGTGGGGAAATGAATCCATGTGCTCGGCAGTTCTGTGTTCAAGCAACTCCTTTCTAAAAAGAAAGTACTACACATCAAACCGGCTTATCCATCAGATGCAGGTTACTATCTGAGCAGAGGTCAATACTTGCAATATCACACTTGACAACCATCTCTAAATCATACCAACTTCCAGCTTGATCTTCACACGGGCTTCAAGTTATAAATAACTATTTAAATAACCTGATGAGTTTTTCTCTTATTGTGCTCCTATATAACATACATACTTGTTGATCTGAGCCAAGAACATTCCCTTCAGGGCATAAAATTCAGCAGTCATCTCTTTTGTGAAGTATTTTAAGTTTGTAGATTCTATAACTTCAAGGCCCTGTTTAAAAAGAGTAGAAAAAAAGGTCTTGAAATTTCTAGACAACAATTTCATTAAAATATTTATCTAGGCAATAAGTTCTAAAGGTCATTGACAAGTGTACTTTAACTTGACAATAGATTGGCCTACCATGAGTATTTGTTGACTGACAAGTAGTATCTGAACTGAATCACTAAATGCCAAATTCAGTTCTAGACACCTTAAGGGTATTATTTTTCTCCAAAGCTTTGTATGTCTAATCCGTTTCATTATTTTTATTAATATTCCTCTGAACACAGCCAAAATCTACCTTATGACACCCTCATACTTCTGCAGTTTGTTTTTTCCTTAAATACATTAACCAAATATATGGTAGAATGGAGAAGATAAAATGTAATTAATTCAAATATTCAAGTGGTTTCCTTTCCCTTTCTTGCTTTGAAAGGACTGTTTCCCATTCCTAAGGCTATGTTTGCAGAAAGTTCGTCTTCCTTCCACGTGGACACGCTCATCACTCTACCCGACCTCCTCGGCACATGGGCAGGCCCCGGGTCTCACTGGCACTCTACCTGCATACACTCGTTTTTCCCCATGACTCCTGCCAGCTGGAGGTAGCATTTGACTTGCTGTCGAATCTTCTGGAAGCAATCCACGATAGGAACGGTTGGAATGGTATGAATACGACTTAATATATCCAGAGCCACATTGACCAGTCCTTGTTTCCGGGCAATTTTTCCATACTGGATGATTGCTGAAGCTGATGCATGAACCCCAAGCATAGCGTTATTTGAACTTGGATCGTGCTGAGAACTATTTTCATACGCAGTTACAATAGCTAGAGAGCAAAGAAATGACTTATCAGTCCATGCCCAACATTTTCAAAGTGTTCCACAATAAGGCTTAAATAAAAAATGAAAAACACATGTGACTTATGAAAATGGAAGCTCCGTGATAAATCCTCATTACTTTTCCTTGTATTTTATATCAAAAGAAAGATACAAAAAAGCACTAACTGAGCCGAGTTACCACCTTGGCTAACTGGGTCATGAAGGCTGCTCTAAGCAAACACATGCCTGGTAGGTTTAGGATGTGCAGAGGGGACCAGAAAATCGGAGAAGGCTGCACACTGCCACCTGAATGAGGGCAGCTCTTCCTTGGAGGGGCGTCAAAGCAACGAGTGCCACACCCGAAGCTCCGATCACAGCGGCCTGAGCCCCTGCTGCAACAGGCAGTGTCCAGCAGGATTTCTGTCCTAGCTAGAAAAATGTTTAACAGGTGGGGGAAAATTCTTCCCATTTTTTACCACCTTCATCTTTACCCTCGTCATACCACCACTATCTATCTACCACACCTGCCCAAAACAGAAAATCTGGTAAAAGAAAAAAACAAAACAAAACCAAGACATGAAACCAGAACAGTGGGGTGTCTGGGAAATTACATGATGAATGCATGCCGGACCAGGTAGGTTTACCCTGGTAATGATGCTGCCGCCACATGAAGACGCTGCTCCAGTGGGACAAGTCATCAGACACAATGGGCAGCCTGTTCCTCCAGGTCTTCACCACCGTCTTCATGTCGTGCAGGCTGTTGTTCCTCCCCAGGTTGGTTGGCTGTAAGCCTGCATTTATTTGCGCAGCTTCCTGAAGTTCAATGATTTGTTGGGCTGCCTAAATGGGACCGTCACAGGAGATTCCACAGTCAGCATTATATCAAAGATCGAATGAGAAAATAAACCACAGAGTCAATCAAGAAGCTGATTTATCACCAAGACCTCACGATTCGATTATGAAAGGAAGCACTCTAACTTACACAGATACCTTCCATTCTACATTTAACTTACTCTTCACCTCCAACACCACTCTCCTGATCCTCCCAGTTTTAAAACCTCAGCTCTGCGGCTTCCGTGAGGTAGAAGATGGGAGAAGAATGGTGTAGATACCAAAGCTTGTTAATGGGTAGCCCCCCAAAACAATTCTTTTCCAACTATGGTTGGCTCTTTGTCTACCAATTTGTCTGAGAAAAGAGCAGTCTAGTGCCCCTGCCCTCAAGCTTTCCTTCAGTCAACATTTAAAAATCCCACAGCCACATCAGACATCTTAAAACATGGTTCTAATGATCTCTGGGCCAGTACACACATTTTCAATCACATCCCTTATGAATCTGTCTAGTTCACTACCCTTTAAACCCCGGATGTACTGCTAACTCCAAGCTTCTGGTGCCACCTCCTTACCAGGAATGCCCAGGCCACAACTCTGAGCCTATCCAAATTCTACCGGTCAAATTCCACCCTCCCCGCAACCCCAAAGGGGTTTCTCTCTTCTCTAAGTGCTTGTGTTTACTTTCTGCCCTATCTGCATGGCACTGAATCATACCCTTCCTCTTATTTTAAATTTTGCTCCTTATATATATGTCGTCTCCCTCCAGGTAGATGCTCCTTTGAGGCAGAATCTATGTTTTAAATTTTTTGCATTTCCCAAACACAGCACCTAGGTTAGTACTCAGTATCTCGTTTGGTCTTAATTTTAAAAATTGCCTACAAGAATTTATGTTTTCCGTCTAAATTTCTAGTTTAGTTCATTACATTTAGATTCCTGAAACCTTTTTATCTAATACTCCCTCCGAACAAAAGCTTACTGAAAATAGAACAATGAGATTGTTTTATAACAGATTTACTGATACATACTTAAAACATCATGGAAATTACCTTTTGAAGTATACAATCAGTAGTTTTTAGTATACTTCTGAGTTGTCTAACCATCACCACTACCTAATCACAGGATGCTTACATCACTCCCAAAAGAAGCCCTGCCCCATTGGTAGCCACTCTCCATTCTCTCCCCCCTAGAAGGTGACAATCACTTAAATCCTTTGGAAGCTCCAAAAATAAGCAGCAACATTTTAGTCCTCCGTTTTCACTGTGGCCCTCCTCCCACTGAGGATGAGTTTAAATGGGAAAGGACAAGACAAGTGCAAGGAGTTTCCTCTCTGCTGTCCATCTCAGTTTACAGACCTATGCCTAGACCAGAGGTGCTCTGATCTCATGGACCAGATGGGCCCATGAGACTGTGTCACGTGCACGCACCATACCCACCTGGAGGAGAGGTGTGTGCACATGCGACACCACGTGGGGCAGCCGCCGCCACTCGCGTATGGCCAGGCTGCTGGCCATTTCCACCAGGCGCTCAATGAAGCTCAGCTGCTGCTCCTCAGGGTGGCAGATAGCCAGGTATCCACGGTACATGTTGACTTTCCAAGCCATCTCCTTGGGACAACTTACTTCTACCTGGTGGCAAAAGAACATTACACAGGAAGCTATGGGTTCTTCCCAGTACAAAGAGTCAAAATCGAAAGTCATTTTTTTTTGGTAGGCAATTTTGCAAAGCAATAAGCAGAAATTAAGCTATAAACAGACATGTATTTTCTTTACAGCAGTCATGTGTTTAGACTGTTCTTTCTGGATACTCTCCTTTTCTGAATGCCAGTCAGTGGCCAATCTCACTAGCTGTGAACACACGCCACAGGCTCCTTGCTGTAGGTCATCAGTAGTTCCAAAAAAGGGGAAACTGATCACCACTGTCATGACAGACCAGACTAACAATCACACTTGGCTACATAGTCAGCCAGCAAAGTTTTAAAAGTATTCAATGTATGTTCATCTCCACTCTGATAAACATCAATAATTTTAAATTGTTTCCAATTCAATTGTTATCCTAGGAAATTAATCTAACTTGTTCCACATTATATAAGGAAGCAGAAGGTAGTGATTCAGGTTTGTAAGACTATGAGTAAACAGTCACAATTTTACTGTCATTTAAAAGCCATACTTTATTATCTATTATAGAATTTTCCCCAGATTTCTCATATCTTGCTCATTAAGTCTACTACGAAGTGCTGAGCATGGAGCTGTCTGTTACATTTCCTCTCTGTTACATTTCCTCTCCCTAACCCCAACCCCGGCGCCCACACACACGGCTACAGCCAGGTTAAGGTTCCACATGTGTCCCGAGAGTCCCAGCATTCACTCACCACCTTCTAAAGAAAGCATTAGAACATCACATTTTATAGATCTCATTTAAAAACGTAAATGATAAAAAATTAAAGGCTTTTCAAAAGTAATCTCTTTGTGTAGAAGAAGATGAAAGGATACCTCTGTTGAGGAGTTGTATAAAACTTGCTGTAACATGAACAATAAACATTCATTCTGATGCATCTTTGGGAAGTAACAATAAAAATTAGACACATTTGGGGGCCGGCCAAGTGGCGTGTTGGTTAAGAGCTGGCTTGGGACGCCAGCTCTGTGCAGCAGGACCCCGGTTCAGATCCCACATGAGGGTCAGTGACACTGCGCCCTCTACAGCTAAGATGGTGAACAACAGCTCGACCTGGAGCTGAGATGCCGTGAGGCGACGGCATAGGCTGCAGCCCCTGCTGCAGTGGGCTGCCATGAGCTACCATGTGTGGCTGGCAGCCAGCGTGAGCAGCCAGCAGCCGGTGTGAGCTGCCAAGAGCCGCTGTGAGCGGCCATCCAGAGGCTGGCGACCAATCTGCCTCACCTAGGAAGAGCGCAATGATAATACCAACATGGGCCAGTGAAGCAACGTCCTCCACAACTAGACTGAAGAACAAAAGAACAGCAACTTGTCTGCTCCCCTCCCCCGATTCCTCAACACTGTTCCCCTCTCCCAATTCCCCAATAAAAATCTTTAAAAAAAAAATTAGACACATTTTAGTGCCATAATGCTATCTGTCCAAATGACATAAGAGCAATAACGATAACAATAATGCCATCTTGCATTTATATGACACCTTGGCATGTTTGACATCTTACTTTTTCAGGGCACATTCATAGCCCCTCTTAGATCTCAATAATTCAATTATGAAGAAATTCAGGAAGGCAAACTTGCAAACACATCTGTTTCCAACATGATCCTCTAAAATTACACCAATCACACATTTTCTGGACTTAAATACTATTTAACATAGGCTCTTTTCAATCATAACACCTATCCTCTGTAACACTTAAGAACAAGGCATCTCTTTAATTTTCCCCCCACTGAAAAAAATTACCCCAACTACTAAATCATACCAATAAATGCACTACTGCAAGCAGCCATATAATCACAATTCACAGGAATAACAACAAAAGTAATTTGAGTTTTTATTTTAAATACTGGCAAATGAGTAAATAATTTAGTACTATAAAACCATTTGAAATTGATTTACTGAAGATTACCCAGGATGTTTATTCATATACTTTGAACCTATTTCTAATAAGTAGGTGCCTTACAAGTTTTGGAAAATAATAAAGACTGTGAAAGGAAAAAGTCATTTGTCAGACCTATAGACAGTATGACACAGCACATATCCAGCTAAGTGAAATCTTGCAAAGGAGATTAAAAAGGTTAGAGTGAGCTATAAACATTTATTCAGAAGAATTCTTTCTTCAGATAAAGAATAATCAACTATAAATGCATTCTTTTAGCAATATACATTTTTTTTTTTTTAAAGCTGTGCCATCCTGCCACCTGTTGGCAGCTCAGCTCAGGCCGGGAATCAAACCAGCGACACTGTTGCTCAGAGCTCACACTCTTGAGTGCTATACATATTTTTTTACCTTTTTAAGTGATTGGTTATTTCTCAGAGTAACACAAACTCCTTGCATTAGGTGAGTAATTTCCCAGATCCCAACCTGCAAGTCAAGACTCAAGGCTCTAGAACCACTTCTGCAGTTAGGAATTTGTGACTAGTTCAGTTCTTCAATCTTTTGCATTTTGTTAAAAGTGACATTAGTAATTAAATAAGCACTGTAGCCACAGGTTAAAATTTTAGGCTCATCATTTCAAAATGGCCTATAATCTCAATATGCTTTTACAGTCTCCAGATTAAGAAAATCAGTGTTGTGAATGTTAAGTAAACAGGGCGAGAACAGGATGAAAGCATTTCCTTCCCCTACACCCAGTTAAGAGGAACACCACATAGAAAAGGTCAAAAACTGAAAAGCAGCAGCAGGGAAAGGGACAGAGGGAGAGTATGGTGGATGGGCACAGATGCAGGAAAAAATAAGGAGCAACAAGAACTGTTGCATTGGACAACAATAATAAGGTGGTAACAATGTGCTGTGGGTCCAGATAACACACAGAGCTACACAGTCCAATAGGCTTTAATGCACCGACAGAAGCTTCCCAATGGGAAAACAGGGATTGCACTGTGTGCCCACTTGCCCACTGAACACCAAAGTCCTCTGGACGGAGTTTAATTTTTTTAAATGTGGAGCTCAACCAAGTTAATGACTCACCTTCACTTACACTACATCACCATCACTTCCATAATATGTAAATCACTTTGAATACTATAGCTTGTTATACAACAAACTCTTACTGACAGCAACTAATCTGCCAGGCCCTGGGCGTGTATGAGTCAACCTTGCTGTACTCACTTCTAGCAGTGCTTCTGCCACTCAACTCCATCAGTAAAAATGACTCTGTTCTTCCAAATTTCTCCAGGCGCTATTATTTTGTTTTCTCATAGAATCCAAGGTTTCCACACCTGATACTTATTATTGTAATTGAATGATGACAAAAACTTAATTTATAATTTAACTCAAATTCAGGAAAGGTGTCAGAGAGAACCAAAAATAATTCTTGCTTCCTAAGAGCTATCTTTCATCTGCAAAAATGCCCAGCTTGCTCTCAGGGCAGTGAAATCTCCAGAAAGATTTCACGGCTTTGGCAAAAGGAACCCACGCCACTGTGGGGACTATGACCTGAGCGTGGATGCAATGCAAAGAGGTGGGAGGAAGGCCTCACCTGCACCAATGCCTCCTTCATGGCGGTCCAGTTGGACACTCGCCAAGCACACTCCAGAACAAGGTAAGGGTTTATGTGACCTTTGGACTGGCCATATTCCGTCAAGGCTTCCCACTGGTTCAATTCCTTCGAGCACCTAGAAGACCAGGGAGTCGCAGGCAAAAGCTCAGTTACCAACAAACCAACAGATTCAGGAAGGGCAGGGGACAGGCGTTTATTTCCATTCCACAGGAAACCTCCCCCGAGAAGAGTGGGCTTCTATGGGGTGCCGGGCTTGATCCCCTGTGAGTTGCACCTGCCCTCCAGATGCAGCCGAGAACCACCCAGCCCACTACACAGCCGAGCAGACCCAGTGGAGAGGCTGGAGTCATTTACTGATTCTCCCACAGACACTTTCAATTCCTCAAGACTTTATTCGCAGATTTTTGTTTGTTCTTTTCTCTACAGAGTCATAAAGAAAATAGCAAAGTTCCCTTATAAAAACACTCATTATGAGAAAATTTCAGAGATTTTCATGGGTTCCCTTAACTGATTCAAATGCACCACTGCCCAGCTTACCGAATCCAGTGATCCTCCCAAAGCTGGTATTCTGGGAAAATGGCAGGGGATGCGTTACTCCTCTCGTGCTCTTTTTTGGCTTTATCCATTGCCTTCTCATAGGATTCTTGTGCCTAAAAGAGTTAATATGTTTTCAAACTGCTGTTTAACTAGAAACTTTTCCGCAGCCATTGCTCAATTATTTAGGGCAAGGTGGATCACAGACCCAGGAGTGCCTCACACCCTTCTCTACAATCACTTGCCCCCAGAATTCTCTGTTCACGGAGAACAAAGAGTGGGAGGAGAACCGAGATTACATAACTCCCCACACAGAACAGAAAGAGTGGGAGACTGCCTGGACCCTGGGTGAACTGCTCCGTCCTTCAGTGATGAGAGCGGGGGACATAGCCTGTGCCAATGCTTCTGGAGATTTTGGGGCTCATTGTCCCAAACAAGGCTGAGAACTAAACACGTGACCATGGGCATGGTACACTGAAAGGACATGTACAAGGATTAAAATTTAAACACGAAAGGCCATCTACCTTCCATTTCCAACAGGACCAATGAGTGCAGATAAAAAGCATCCCCATTAGCTTTTAATGGTAAAGCATTTAGGACTGAGCTTTAAAAATATTTATGTCATGTAAGTATGTTTCTCTTAAGTTGCATCTTCAATCAAAGGGCCTCTATGTGTAGGACAAATGCTTCGAGTAAAACAGTAAACTTCTTACTTAAATGTGAACTGACTTAAGGGCACTATAATATAATAAGTATATAATATAACCATGCAGCCCAGCCATTTCATTCAACAGCAGCTACCTGCTCAAAGAATCCATGCTGCTCGTAAGCAATAGCAGTTGCCGTCTCCGAATACTTGCAACGTTTCTGCCATAAACCAGCCCACATGTCTTCCTCTTGTAACAAAGAGTAAAGTTCGGCAAGGGAATCCAGTATCTCCTGAAAACACAGGTCATGGTTTCTGAGTGCTCATGACAAAGACGTCTTTTTGCTTCAGTAAAGCAACCTCACTGTGCTGGAATTTAAAATCTCTTGGGAGAGTTACTGAGGCCGTGACATCACTGGCAAGGAAGACATAATTAACAAATAAGGGGCGGCCTCACCTGCTGAGGTGGAGTTATGCTCTCCTGCTCATAAAATTCCGTTGTCTGCTTCGGCTTAATTTGCAGGCTCAGACCTTTTTCAAAAGCCTGGTGCTCTAGCATTAACGTGGAGCGGAACCAAAGGTTGTGCGTTTTCCCCAAGTACTTCAGAACGCAGGGTCTGATGGGAATTGGAGGGACACACTGGGACATGGCTTCCACGAAGCAGTTCAGTGCGCTGGGCTGACAATCCCGCTGCACCTGGTGACTGCCACTGCACAGGAATGGGCTGATCTCCCCGGCTAGAGCCTGAAACCAAATGTCGTGTTAACTCAGGTCTTCATTCAAACATCAGCATGTGTTTCTCTCACAGCATCTGCGAATGTTTTTGATACTTCACGCTTAGAAAATAGTCAGCAGTTTCCTCATCCTTTGAAACTTAATCAAGATTTTCTTTCATAAATACTTTTCAAAAGCTAAAACTACGTTTTCCAAAACAAGATGTTAAAAGTATACTCACATGCTGTTGTCTGTCAGATAGAATTTTCCACAATCTGGGGAAAAGCTGGACCCACGTCTTTTCTGCTAGTGTCGTGGAAATGTGACACAGCTGGACGAAAGCGCTGAGCAGTGCCCCCGTCTACAGAAAGAAGACAGATTAGTGTGGCCAGGCATGGCTGGTGCTCTACACCCTGCCACGCAGCTGCCTCCCACATCCACGCTCAGGAGACACTGCGACAGACTACCAGGTGCTCCTCCCCTTTCAAACTTTCAAACACCTGAGCAAGTGTTGTGTAAGAGTGAAAACAGATTCTGAGCAGCAGAAACCAACCCACAGTGTGCTTGGCGACCAAGCACAGATGTGTACGGGGCTCGTCAGTAACACACCTCCATTTTTTAACTTAATTTCCAAACATGCCAGCCCTGTAAGTGCACCTGAGAGGTACACAGGTGCCATTAAAGCAAAGGCTGAAAATATGAGAGGAACTAGGAAAAGAACATGCATATGAGGGAAGTTATTTGCCAAAAGGTACAATTCTGAAGAACAAATCAAGGACTGTGAAAGTTCAGAGTCTCTGCAATTGACAGCAGACAAGAGATGGGAAAGTGACAGGAATGATCTACAGCGGACACCCTACGAATCAGGCCAGAGCTGGGATCCAAGGGCCCAAAGAACGTATGAACTCCACATACGCGTGTGATTTTATCCACAGCTTTGTTGTTTTGGAAAAACTGAATTAGCTGCCAACATTTCTTATAAACAGCCAGGTTCTCTAGCCTGCTTGAAGCCCATGGGACTCACCGCTCTCCTAATATGAACAGAATCATCCCTGTAATACTCTTCAAAAGCAACTTGGTGTATGGGGCCATAAGTGATTCTCAGTCATTACCCAAAAAACGATCATATCTATAATCAACCTGAGACTGTGTAAGCCAAAGAGCTTCCATCTGGATAGATCTCAAAATAGATGCAGTTGGAGGTCCCCTCCCCCAAAAGTGGACTTGATTTACCACATTAACCCATGCTCATTTTCTCCTTTTTTATTATACTTGAAAAATAATCCAGCAATGTCTTATCAGATATATTTAGTAAATAATTTTACTATTTCTTTCAAGGGATAGTAATAGGGAATTAATCTCTTTTTCTTATTTTCTCCCATAAGACAATTTAACTCCTTTCTCAAATCTTAACATAAAACATTCACTTTAGAGTCTCACAGAACTATAATGGTTTCAGTTGAGAAAGGAAAGAAAATAAGTATAAATTGTAAATGAAAACTTTACACTGATGTGGAATAATCCTGATTCAGGATTCAAAATATTCAGGAGAAAAAAAACCAACAACTATCCCTCCAAACTTGCACACAGACCTTCACTTCCCGGAGAGTATCAAGAAATTTGTCATGTCTGTTGGTTAACATATGCAGCTGGTTCCCAATGTCCTTTTCAGAAAGTTCTTTGGTTTTTGGTGTGCTGGTCTGATCTCCGGGAGCTAGTTCAATATCTATCTCTACATCCTAAATAACAAACACAACACAAATAAGCAAAACAAAAAGTCAAATACTTAAAACCCAATAAACACAACTCTCATAAACTTCTTATTACACTTTTGTCAAGTAAAATTTTAGTTCATTTCCTGGAAGTTTATAATTAAATAATCTTAAATTCTAAAATAAACAACAGATTAACAGACAAGACCTATCTCTCTCTTTTTTTTAATGACAATATAAAAATGTCACCATTTTGCTTTCATATTTGGATTATAAAAAGCAAAATAAAATACCAACTTTAAACAATAAAAAATATAAAGAGTATTAGAAATTACAGCCAATCATTCCTCAAAACGAAGCATAGTTGCCTAGCTGACTTGCTCATTCTGATTAAGAACAGTGACAGGCGAAGTGCCTACACAGTCTGGGCACACAGTAGGCACATAAAGGCTCTGAGGCCCTTACTCTGCTGCCCCCTCAGCTGAGTCCTGGGAAGAGGAACTCCTGTCTGGGTAGAGAAGACCTTCAGCTTTGTTGTGCCTTCTGCCAGCACTCAAAAAAAAAAAGAATAGTGTCAGTCACTGCGTAGGACCTTGGTTGGCACAATGTTTCATACGACTCACTTCCAAAAAAGAAATAAACCTCATTTCTGTCTGAAGCTTCTGGGAAGTCACAGTCAAAATTCAATCATCAAATTAGCCTCTAAGTCAAGATATCAACCATTTGGTATATGCCCTTGAAAATGCAGAAGAATCCCTTCAAAGTTGGCAATTTACTTCACACAGGATTACAGAAAGATCATATCACCAAATGAATGATCTAGTGTTTAGGAACATAGTGAAGAAAATTTTTAAATTTTATTTATTAATAAAATAAGTACCTATGTCACATACAGAAGAGGGAATAAACTACCCTTTTTAGAACAAAAAGGGTGCCTCCTCCTTCAATACTGGGTGGCTGTCATCTAAAACCCAACACTCCAGACAGACTGAGCTTCCAAGAGCCAACAAAGGAAACAGTTTAAAGACCTACACTGGAGTGGTGTCAGCCACTGCCTGTGCAGCACTGAGCACCATAAAGTCTAGGCATCAGCCTCGCTGGCCAGTTCTTGACTCCATAGCTGCCCCTGCCAGGACCAGGCAGAGACAGATGTGGGAGGTCCGGAGCAGACTGCTGTGGAACCAGCTACATAGAGCCATGTCCTTTATGGTAGAGTCACTCCCCAGAGCAGTGCTTTGTAATACATTATGGATTACTTGTCACTTAGAGAGAAAAAACATCAAACAGTAAAATACGCAAATTAAGCAGCACTAGCTCATGGTAAAGTCACCGGTCTCGAAACTGAATGGCAACATGAGAGTCTTATCAAGTCTAACTTTAATAAATCTGAGGGCCGGCCGAGTGGCTCGTTGGTTAGGAGTTGGCTTGGGAGCGAGAGCTCTGAGCAGCAGGGCCGCCGGTTAAGATCCCACATGAGGGTCAGTGATGCTGAGCCCTCTACAGTTAAGATGGTGAACAACAGTTCGACCTGGAGCTGGGCTGCCGTGAGTCGCCAGCGACGGTGTAGGCTGCAGTGGGGCTGCCGTAAGCTACCGTGAGTAGCTGGCAGCCAGCGTGAGCTGCCATGAGTCGCCATGAGTGACCATCCATCCAATGGCCAGTGACCAATCTGCCTCAGCCCAGAAGAGCACAATGATCACAATACCAACATGGGCCAGTGAAGCGACGTCCTCCACAACTAGACTGAACAACAAAAGGACAGCAACTTGTCTGTTCCCCTTCCCCGATTCCCCAATAAAAATCTTTAAAAATAAAATCTAATTGGCTGGAAACAACCGAAGTGTCCATCGATGGATTAATAAAGAAAATGTGGTGTTATATATATATATATATCATACATATATATACACAATGGGATATTATTCAGCCATAAAAAATAATGAAATCTTGCCATTTGTGACAACATGAATGGACCTTTGAGGGCATGATGCTAAGTGAAATAAATCAGAGAAATACTTTATGATCTCACTTATATATGGAATCTTACAAAAAAAGACCAAGCTCATATACAGAGAACAAATTGGTGGTTGCTAGAGGACAGGGGGGAGGGGCAGTTGTAGAAAATGGGTGACAGGGGTTAAACTTCCAGCTATAGACTAAGTCATGGGGATGTAATGTACAGCATGGCGACTATAATCATACTGTACTGCATACATGTAGGTTGCTAAGAGTAAATCAAAACTCTCATCATGAGAAAGACAAATCTGTAACTGTGTGGTGACAGATGTGACGACATACTGCAGTGTGCATTTCACAGTACATGCCAATACCAAACATTATGTTGTACACCTGAAGCCAATATGATGTTGTATGTCAATTATATCTCAAAAACATTTAATTGAACGTGGGTACCACATTCAGAGCTTTCAGGTAAAGACAGGTTTTAATACATTGCTCTTGCCCTAAAAAAAAAATCTAAGGCTGAGACAGAATAGGAGAAACGGGCAGTCTGCCACAAAATCCAGACATTACCTCCTCTTTGGACTCGCTGTTCTCTCGCTCCCGAGGCTCCTGCTTGACATGGGTGACCATGGCGAAGGCCGCACGATCGTGGCTGTCGGCCAGGTTGATGACATTGGTGATGGATGGGAGCATAGCTCCTTGGCAGCTGGTACCAATGGGCGTGCTCTTCTCACATACAGCCAAGAGAAGCTAGAGGGTTTGTGGGCAAGAATAAAAACCTAGGACACATGCCTAGCATTTGGGGTGTGTGGACCCACAGTAAATACCTAGTCATCTCGACAGGCAGGCACCTGCTGATGGCTCCTGGGCCCACGGCTCTGTTCTGCAAGTCTCTCCAGCTTAGACGAAGTCTGAACCTCCCTCCCAGGCGTCCCTCACTCAAGCACCTGACTCCACATTTAAGCTCAGCATCTTTCTCGCCTACCAGACAGGCTTCCTCTCCTGTCCTCTCAGAGGCGTCTTCCAGAGAAGACAGTTAGCCTTTCCTTCACCTGTTTTTCCTTGTCTCTCACCCCCCATACCACATCACCAAGTCCTGCCAATGTTACCTCCTAAATACCTAGGCAGCTGTCACCTCCTGCCTGGATATAACTTTCTGATTCATCCTGAATACTCTTCTCAAACCCATCTCCTTCCATACAGCTAACATCAGCGCTTCCCTCACCCCCTCTAATGGCTTCCCACAGTCCTCAGGGGACAGTGCAAGCTCCTCAGCATGGCTCACAAGCTCTTCCATAGTGTAACACCCCCAACCCGCATGCAACACTTGCGTGACCATTCCTCACCCCCCAATATGCTTCACCACCCAGCCTTTGCTCAGCCTTTGCTCCCCAATCAAGTCAAGCTTGCATTCTTTTACCAAATATTTACTAAGCACCCACCCACCAGGTGTGGTGTGAGGCCCTGGAGACTCATTTGTCAACTTCACAAAGACTGTATCCCCTACCCTCGTGGAGCTGAAGTACCACAGGGAAGGATAAGAACAACATCGACACATAAAGAGACACATACTCCCCGGAGAGCAGCCGAGGAACGGTAAATTGACAGAGAAGAGGGTGCCCCGCTTTAGCTTGGGTGCCAAGAATGTGGCATGTCTGAGAGCACGAAGGCCAGCAAGGCTGGAGACTAATGGGTGAGGGAGAGCGGGACTGCAGGGGGCTGGAGAGAGGCCAGGGTCTGGTCACTCAGAGGCCAGCAAGACTGGAACCTGGAGGCTGGGTTTTGTGCTGAGTCCAACAACAAGGAACAGCACAACCTGCTTTGTTCCTTTAGAACAATTCTGTAACAATAAAAAAACTGGTGGGTAGGAGGGAAAGTGAGTGAACACTAAGGACACTGTTCCCGTCATCCTTGTAAATGATGACGGTGGCCACGAGAGGGCAGCAGAAGAGGGAGGGAAGAGAAGCTAGTGGCCTTGAACTGGTGACACCTGGTGACAGACTAGATACAAAGGAGAGAGGGAAGGAATGAATGGACGGTTCCTGGCCTGTGCCCCACAGCCTGCCTCGTCCTCTATCAATTCCTGTGTGTACCCACCACAGTCAGTCTTTCATCTTTGGATCTGCAGAACCTGCCCCTGAGCCTGGCACATAACAGTAGCAATCGACAGGCCACTTGAATAAACGATGAATATATTGGGGAACTTTGACCACTGTCTTGCCAAAAGCAAAGTTCCAAATACATATATATGCTGTACACAATACTAAGAAAACATACACTCAGCACAAACAGAAATATGTTCACAAGCTTTCAATGAAACCCAGCGCCACAATTTCCTTCTTTTTCCTTAGAGAATTTCGCAGCTGCCTGTCTCATTAGACAAGTCATTTCATAACCTTCTAGTTTATTCACTCTGGTAAGTAGACTAAAATTACTTGCACAGCACCAGTAACCAGCTACTGGAAACCTAGGTTACCTGGTATAGTAAGCTGTTGATTAAGCCAAAGGTAGCTGATTTGAATAACAGGAAACAAGAAACCAAGAGCACCCACTACAATCGCGTTAGAAACATCAGAGAACATCTGACTTAGCATCGGCTGAAACAGTCTAACCGTTTTACACAGGACTTTGTCACCAGCACCCTGAGTCCTCACGGTGAGGGATGTCAGGCTGGCCTGCCCGGCTGCTCCACCTTCTACTGTGAGAATGATGAGAGCTGACAATTACAGCACACCGAACCTTCCCAGGCATGTAGACAGAATTCACAATTTTCATATTTGAGGAAAAATGAATCTTAGCTACAAATTAAGGAATATTATTCAACTTTCTGATTAAAGGGCTTAAAATCACCCAAAAGAAGCTTTAGATGAAAACATGGCTTTAACTGTTTTCTTCCTACTAGAGATTAAAAGCGGTTTTATGGTGGAGATTTCTAACTCATCTTGGTGTGTGTGGACACTGTCCAGCTTCAGTGCCCAAGCCATAGAGGGTAAGCTGAGCTTGTCCTACCTCAATGCACTGCTTAATCCAGAAGTGGTTCCCCATGGCTTCCCAATTCTGGGAGCAGGTCACATAAAGCAGGCGCTCGTAGACCCGACGTTTCATAGAGTTGTCAAAAACCTCGAAAAACTTGGCCCTGATGAGTGGCTGGGCACAACGCAGCCCAGACAGAAAGGCAGGCTCGAGTTTCGCAGTCAGCTCACTGCCAGACAGCGTCTCGTCCCTGCAATCAAGGGAAGAACATTGAGATAGAAGGGCTATGCCAGTAGTGGGCTCCGCACGCCACAAAGCAAACCAACAAAAACCAAGTAGGTACCAACTTCCTGAAATGCCTTTATGAGAACCAAGAATATGTCATAAATCATTGTAGGCTGATGCCGCATTTATGCAAAAGGTTCATTAATGATGCCAAAATGCTAAATGATTTAGTATTTAAATGAATATATGAAATTTAGGTATAAAAAAAGATTAAAAAGGCATCTAATGCTAGTTGGTCAGAGAACACGTTATGGACTGACATATGAAACATTTGACTAATTGCTGTAAATACCTGTAGACATAGTTAACAAGGTCTAAGAACTGGGCATTTAACTCAAGGTCTTCTGGAAAACGCTTCTCTATGTAGGTCATCATTTTCACAAGCAAAATGGACTTCTCCCGGAGTGTAGGTGTCTGCATAAATGTTTTTTTAAAAGAAAAAGTCAATTACTTCTATGTGAGAAAAGACATGTTCAAAAGTATTTCAGCCATCTGCTCTACTACTTTCTAAGCTCTTACAATTTTGTCAAGTAAAACAACACTTCTCAACAACAACAACAACAACAAAAAATCAAAGATGGCCCTGGATATCTTTAGATGATTAAAACCAAGATAGATTCCAACGTAATTTTCCTCGGGGCCACAGCTCACTTTGGAGAGAAAGCAACTAAATTATAAAGCAAATCAGACATTTGCAAGCACCTTATGAAATTAAATAATAGTCCCTCATTATTTTTTTTGGCTTACCTTCCCCACCATAAAAGATGAACAAGCAAGGTTTGTTTAACATTTTAACAGAAGTAAAACCACTTTAAGATGAGTGGCCCATTATCTCAAGTGCCTATTTAAAATCTGTTAAGCACAGTGAGAAAGATCCAACTTAAAAAAAGATACTGTGAATGCAAATACAGGAGAGAAAAAAGATTTGCTTGATTGAAAACTTTTAGAATGAAGATCTGAGAAAGCAATGCCTGCATTTTCTTTCACAGACAAAGGAAGGCCACCTGGCCAGACCACAGCTCCTCTTCCCCGCTCACCTGATTGGCTGCCATTGGGGAATTATTTTTAACCCATTCTTCCACAATTTTAACCACAGCCCGGAGGATTTTGGCATCGGGTGACTTTTCGATGAGGGAGGTCAGGATGGCCTGAATGAAGTTCTTCCTCATCTCCATGCTCATCACTGCCAGTCGCGTTTTCACCAGCTCCAGGCTCAGCATCACCAGCTCACTAGTCCCTGTACGAAAGAACACACCCCAACAATTTCTACACATGCACGTCAACAGGCAAACGCTTCGCCCTATGTGGCATGTTGACTCTGCCCATGTTTTCCCCCAAATATTTTCTCCAGCACCCAAATATTTTCTCTAGCACCCAGAGCTCTGTGACTTACAGTGCCTCGCCACTTTCTTGCTATTCTACCACCTTGCAAGGGTGACTCTGTAGGAGGCTCCCCATGAGGAAGAGGATAATGGAGCTGATGTGACCAGTGTAAGCAACCCTGGGGTACAGCCAAGTCCTGAGGTCACATTCATGGCACTTATATGCTAAGGGGCACCGAGCAGCACAGTGCCAAGCACACAATAACTAGTCACCCAGATTCCAGGAGCCCACTCTTCACGTCTGGAACCTGCGACTGAATTCTCCGTCAGACGTAACAGCTCTGATTAAGCAATCCCTGTTTTATAGCAAAATTGTTAGGTAATTCTCATGTAGTGGACACATAAATGTCCAACCATTTAAAAGTTCTTCACTCTTCCATTCGCAAATTTTAAAAGCAAGTTATTTTAAAAAGGAGCCTCATTTTGGTTTTAAACGAAAAGCTTGGGGACTCTGTTACGAGCAGATGATAATGAACTGCATATCAACAGGCACTAGTGTGCGCTTTAGAATCCAGTCACAGAGCCAGCACCGTCTGGGCTTTAAACCAAGTCTGAGGACAAAACCTGAGGACCAAGTCAGGTCCCTCACCTGCGGTGGCCTCCGTGCTGCCCGACGCTGCCTGCGGGCTGAGGTGCTCTCGGACCATCTTCTGCAGGGAGCGCATGAAGACGGAGATCAGTCTGTCTATGTAGCTCGGGTTGTTGCTGCAGGCAGACTTCAGGATCATCAGGGTCCCTAAAAAATAGACATCAGCAAATGGTTTTTTTTTTAAGAAAAGTTTTTAAAAATTGAGCAACTGACAAAAATGTGATATTTAAAACATTTTAAATTGTGCTACACAAAAACGGCTATTTCCAACAAAACTACAGCTTAACCCCAAATGTCAACATTATAAGCTTTTGGATGGCATATACTGCATTTGGAAACATTATGTTTACTCTTAGTTCCTAATTCACGATCATCATCCTCAGGCATGGGAAGTGATTTTTGTGCTTCAGCAGAAACATTCTTACCTCCAGTTCTGGATTTTATCTTTAGGTTATGGGAAACCATCCTAAGTCTTTATGATGTTGGGGGGGCAAAGGTGGGGGAGGGCCTTTCTTTTTCTATCTAGACTACCTGGGCATGACAAATGTTTTAGACTATTTGCACCCCATGCTGAAAAACTGCATAAGATCAATAAAAATCAGCAAAACTAACATCAGAACATGAACACTGAGTATGTGACAAAAATTTTATCTTTCATAACTGGCATTTTTATATACATCTTAACCCTGACCTACATGTTAAATTTTAAATCTATATTCATGGCTCAAATCATAGAACACTAAAAGGGTATTTATTCATCATTTACAGGTGCAATCATCCAGATTTGGACAATTTCAGGCCTGCTTTGTTAAAAGGCTGATTCTCAGCAGCGCAGTAAACAGGCAACCAATCTGATTCTACGATAAGTAACCCATGACACCTGAAGATGATGATGAACACGGGTCGTGTTCTGGCTGTTCCCGACTGCCATGTTCACTTCTATGGTGCAGCCGTCAGGAACGGAACCTCACACACAGAGGATAGCAGTGTGACCAACTCCACAGGCCCACTGGCCCCAAGGTTGCCCCTCACCTGCTATCACCCAGGAGTAGCAGGGGGACGGTGGTCAGTTCTTCTCAAACAGAGCCCTCCAGAAAACTAATGGGATGTTCCTGCTGCACTGCGACAGCAGCCAGGCTGCAGAGCAGGATCTACTGTATGACCCCACTGACAAAAAGCCACAGCATTCCTCAGTGTCCAAATCCATCTGGTTCCAGGATACAGACAGCAAGTGTGGAGAGCAAGGGATGCCATTTTAATTACACTTATCTGGCTCCTGAATTTCAGGTAGCAAGCAGAAAGTTTGGTGAGCAAGAAATTCATTTAAAAATAATGTATTCAGGGCCGGCCGAGTGGTTCAGTTGGTTAAGAGCTCGCTCAAGAGTGCAAGCTCTGAGCAACAGCGGTTCAATTCCCAGCCTGAGCTGAGCTACCGCTGAGCTGCCTACAGGTGGTAGGAGGGCTCAGCTAAAAAAAATTTTTTTTAAATAACGTATTCACCAGATGCCTCCTTACCGCAGTAGGCAAGCGCATCAGTCTAATAAAAATGAAGTATTCAGTTTGCAAATGCAGACACAAAGAGTTTGCATAGCAAGGGCTTTGTGTGTATGTACTTATATACATGTGTATAGAAAGGAAACAAGCACTCCAAAATGTTGAGTGTTACTAAGCAGAGAGACTTACAGGCAACTTCCAGCTTTCCTTCATTTGTATTTTCAAAGTTTTATACAATGAATATGTTATAAGAGAGAAAAAACGTTTAGGGTTGTTAATTCAATGTCTTATCCTACTCATAGATGTGAGTTTGACAAAAAAAACAGAGTCTACACATTTGACTTTCAGGTATCTGGAGGCCAAAGTCACCCAGCTGCCCTGATTACCCGAGAAACCAATTTTCATTTCACCTGGGGCAGTCAGGGCCTCACCAAGTAGATGGGGACAAGTGCCTAGCTTGTGAGTGGCTTACAGAGGTGCTTCTACATGCCTGTACCGTTTGGTAGCAGGTTTGTGCTTGGTGTAAAACTGGGCCAGCAGGATCCACGGGGCAGTTCCCTTTGACCAAATCCTGCATCTGAGGCTGAGGCGGGAGGAACTGGGAAGCAATCGTGTTGGATAGAATGGGGTCGTTCACCTCAAAGACCACAGGGGCACCGGGCCACACAGACACCCCAACAGTGTGTCAGCTCAAAGCTCCTCTCCACATCCTGAGCCTTTCCCTTCTAAGGAAAGCTCATGCAGAGAGCTTGGATAGATGGACGCCAAACGGAACCACAGCGGGCAAACCCAGTCAGACACAGACTCACCAAAGAGCTGGGAGGGGTTGGCGTTGGCGGCCTTCTCGTAGTTGGTGAGTCCCTCATAGATGACCTTCCCGACGGCGGCGTACAAGCACTCCAGCTCTTCATACTTCGAGGCCACACTTGAAGTGCCTGAAACAGAAGAAAAACTTGGGCTCTAGGGTTTGGGCTCACAGGCCTGCCAGGTCCTAGGACATTGCTCACTCTAGGGGCTGAGCTTTAGTTACTCTGGGATCCGCAGCAACTGGCACAAGCACCTCTCTCCACTGCAGGACATGCTGTGCTCACCTCTGGGCTGCTTCCTATTTTATGGAGCCAACTGACAACCTTTTATCTCACCAAGCCTTACCTGAACACACTCCAAATACACTAAACATTGTTTACAGTACGCCAAGATTTAATCTTGTCAACTGTTCATTTGACAACATACTTTAACCTCACTTACCTTTAATACATTAAAGAAACAGTAATGTTCAGCTGATGAAGAACTGCATTTCCAAAGCAAACAAAAAAATATAATGCAATGCCTGCTGCCGTTAGTTTTTATGTCATTTTTTTTTTAAAGAAAGGGTAAACACAAGAAAAGTGCAGTAATGGGCTGGCCGAGTGGCGCATTGGTTAAGACTTGGCTTGGGACGCCAGCTCTGAGCAGCAGAGCCCCAGTTCGGATCCCACCTGAGGGCCAGTGACGCTGCGCCCACTACAGCTAAGATGGTGAACAATAGCTTGACCTGGAACTGGGCTGCCGTGAGTTGCCGGCGACGGCGTAGGCTGCAGTGGGGCTGCAGTGGGCTGCCGTAAGCTACCGTTGAGTGGCTAGCAGCTGGCGTGAGCGGCCAAGAGCCACTATGAGCGGTCGTCCAGTGGCCGGCAACCTATCTGCCTCAGCCAGGAAGAGCGCAATGATAATACCAACATGGGCCAGTGAAGCAATGTCCTCCACAACTAGACTAAAGAACAAAAGGACAGCAACTTGTCTGTTCCCCTTCCCCAATTCCCCAATAAAATCTTTTTTTAAAAAAAAAAAAGAAAAGTGCGGAAATAAAAGGCTCCATAGAGTAACTGGAGGGTGAGCTCTCTCAACTAACAAGCTCTGTGCCCACCCACCCACTCGGTAGGAAAGGCATGGAGAAGGTCACGTACTTGGCTCTGTTGGGAAAATACTCATTAGGCGTGAGAGAAGGCTATGGACTGCTCGCAACACTTTGGTGTTTCCACAGGTCATACAGGCCGCGATTCCACGCTGCAGGGGTTTGAAGCTACTGAGGATGGCTGGAGACTGGAGCACAGTTAGCAAGAAACTCAGCACTTCCAATCCTGTGCAAATATTTCCATAGTTAACTTGATTCGGCTGCTCCTAGAATGGAGAACACAGGCCACACACAGATAAAATAAACTCAAGTAGGGTGAATTATAGAAACCCAAGTCAAAATTTAAAATTTAAAATTATGTGTTATTATTTAGAAATGAAGTATATATAAAAAAATAAATAAAACACCACTAAATAATGAACATATCCTACATAGGTGACCACCATATTTTACTAATACTTTAGGATTTCATGATTAATAAATTTGCTTTAAGTATTTAATCAAACCTTTTTTGAAAGCTCATGAAAAATATTCAACATTAAATAATGTTAAAATTTTGAAAATCACTGAGGGTCTAAAGAGGCAATTACTGCAATGAATTTTGCTTGTCTCCTTCCATCTTTTTAGTTAAAATACAAATATTTTTCCAAAAGGAAGTATCTCTGAAACTGTGTCATGAAATCAACCTAATAGATGACAACAGAACTTAAAAAAGAGAAACAATAAAATAGAAAATGGAACACATGGTTTGTAGTACAGATAAGCACTGCCTCGTGGAACTTTTATTGGTGTTGTATACACATGCATGCCTAGCCCGTGTACTGGGTGTATCCACCGGGGCTGTGAGGTAAAAATCCCTCACTATGGGAAAAAGGTGGGAAGTCACTGAACATGGCACGTTGCGTTATGAAAATGTTAGCCTATTCACTGGCAGACGCTGTCCACATATGGCTGAGCTTGATTAAACTGTGACTATATGTGATAGCAAAGTAATCCGACCTTTCAAAGAGAAAAAAGAAAACTGAAGGTAATCCAGAAGTTATACACCAAGCTGGAATCAAACCATGAGCTGCAGGCTTAGGGGCCTACGATCCTACAATTTTCATAGCACAGGTGACCTTTGTAACCTTTCAAAACACTTCAGCAACAATGTTGGTCTTTGCAATGCAAAGTAACAAATGCTTATAATAGGTTTGCAACCCCGAGCAAATTACAGGATCAAGGTTTTTACAGAAACAAACCAAAAACCCCATCAAATAATCAGCATTTGGGGCTATTTCTTTGTTACTTGATTATACGGTGACCAATAACAAATTTTATGCCAATATGCTTTAAAAATTCAAGTTTATTTTAAAGGTTGGTGCATAAATCAACTAAAAATATTTCAAGTCAGACGGCAGGTCAGTTTAAGAAATTAGACTTCAAAAGGCACGAAGACTATTATGTTTTCAAAACTAACTACTTGGGGCTGGGTGGGAGTGAAAGCTGAGGTTTTAAAACCATTTCCTGGAAGTGAAACTCCCTCCTCATTATCAGTATGAAAATTAGTAAAAGGAAACCTCATTTAAAATGGAGTCAGGGGCCAGCCAAGTGGTGCATTCGTTAGGAGGTGGCTTGGGACGCCAGCTCTGAGCAGTAGGGCCCCAGTTCGGATCCCACATGAGGGCCAGTGACACTACCCTCTGCAGCTAAGATGGTGAGCAGCAGTTGGACCTGGAGCTGGGCTGCCGTGAGTCGCCGGCAACGGCATAGGCTGCAGCCCTGCTGCAGTGGGCTGGCATAAGCTACCGTGTGTGGCCGGCAGCCAGTGTGAGCTGCCAAGGGCCACTGTGAGCGGCCATCCAGAGGCCGGCAACCGATCTGCCTCAACTGGGAAGAGCGCAATGATAATACCAACATGGGCCAATGGAGCGACGTCCTCCACAGCTGGACTGAGGAACAGAAGGACAGCAACTTGTCTGTTCCCCTTCCCCCGATTCCCCAGCGCTATTCCCCTCCCCCAATTCCCCAATAAAATCTTTTAAAAAAATAATAAAATAAAATAAAATGGAGTCGGGAGTCCAGAAGGGGGAGACTTCAGGCTCTATACCACTACTGTCAATTACAGACCCCAACAGGAAGAACTGTCAATTACAGGCCTCAATAGGAAAACAACACTCATTGCTTTACCACTCCAGCAGAACAAAGGAAGACCTGCTTCCTTGCCCATTACTCAGCCAACGAGACCTGAACTCTAGTTTTCCTCCATTCCTCCAACGGACTTTTGTTCAAAGCACCCCCTCCCAACTTCCTCCTTTTTCTCTAGAAAGTAACATTCCTCTCCTTTGCTTGCTGGACTTGCCTATGGTTTCTGCTATCGCTTGCAATTCCTCTGCCATTCCCAAATAAACCCATCTTGCTGGTAAAATAACTGATTGTTTTAAGGTCAACAGTGGCCAGAAGAGAAAGTGGAAGGGGCCACAACTGGCCAGAGCAGGGGTCAGCAAATTTTTGAGACGGAAGAGCGACCAGGCGTCAGCAAACTGCAGCTCGCAAGCCACAGGCTCTGAAGTAAAATTGAAAATGAAAATAAAACTATCACAGTTTCATTTATAAAATTTTTAAAGCATATATTCACATAATGGTGATTATGTAAAAATATATTTATGGCTCTAGAATAATTTTTAAATTGTCACGAGGGGCAGGATAAGTTCTTCCAGGGGTCGGCAAACTTTTGAGACAGAACGTACCCAAAGAGCCGCATGTGGCTCGCGAGCTGCAGTTTGCCGACCCCTGGGCCAGAGGAATTGGATGGAAGGTTCGGGTTTGGGCAGACCAGCCCCAAGCCCAAGCGGCAGCAACAGACAGGAACACCTACCACGCTCATCAGCAGTTTGTCGAACCACTGCAATTTGAGCTCGGACTTGGACCACATGTCCGGTCGCAGGGCCGTCTTCAGGAGGGTCACACATCGACGAGACAGCACCTCCCCAGGAGACCCGGCAGTGTTGGTGTTGTCATTAACCTGGAAATTCACTCAAATTCAAGGCCACGCTTCGCTGCAGACGTGTTTACAGTCATTCTTGTGACACTGCCTTCTGTTCATGCCCCATGGCCTTGCACCCTAGCTCTCCACCTCACAGCCACCTCCTCTCCCACCTGATTCAACTCAGCCGTCTGTTTCAGGGACCCTCTCCCCTGGGACCCTCCCGCTTCCATGTAGGGAGGGGGTCACTGGTGACTGGCAATCATTTGTGATTGATATTAGTGTCAAGAGGCTCCCCAGAGAGCAGGGCCCGCGCTCTCTCCCTCTAGAGGGCCGAGGCTGTGCCTAGCACACTGCAGCAGGCAAGAAAATGCTGGCTGAAGTTTAACAGGGTCTTTTCAACTTGGAGAGCCTCAACAGTATTGCAAGATACAGTACTGTTTAATAACTAGAAAAACTTAAGATTCACAAAAAATTTTTTAAAAGCTTAGGAAAATTTCATTTACAATGTTTTTTGGAAATATAAAAATTAAAAGCTTAAAAATGGATTCCCAATAACTACATGGAAACATATATGGATATGAATGATAAATAAATACAAGTTATAAAAGCATTTAAATTAGTATATGTTGTTTTGGACCATCCCAATACCTTTAGAGACAGGTAACTTGTAAGTTAAATAATTTGCGCAACATCACAAAACTACCATGTTTTTACCAACACCAAGATTCCCTTAATTATAAGATACATCATTATTTAATCACCACTAAAAGAAAAAATGTTTTTAAAAAATCATATCAGTTATAAGACAAGGCAGATTTCAGAAATATTAACATATCATAAAATTAGTGGAATGTGGTATGAAAGCGACAGAATTAGCTGTCAGATCTTGGTTTGGCTATTTCTTTTTGGATTAAGCTGTCACAGGTAACATCCTGGAGTTGACTAAGTAGCCTTTGTTCTAAAGAATCCCTGACTTAAGACATTCAGAGCCCGCACCTGACAAGCCACTCGGATGAGGAAGTTCACCACAGTGTCCGTGTGCTGCTTATCAATGGGCTTGGCAAGAAGGGAGTCCGCTCCAGGCAGTGACTGGCTCCTCCCAAACACCTAGAAAAGGCAGGAAGAAAGAGCCCTGTCAACAATTCATGCAGTGTATGGCACTGACTCGTGCAGCCCGCCAACAGGGGCAGATGTCATTCTGAGCACTGAGGAAGGCAGGCAGGAGGTCCACAAGACAGCTAATGGACCATGAAAAGTAATGAAAAGTAATGGGTGGTGTGATTGAGACTGAAACGGAACGTGGTCCTGGAAGTGAAAGGATGACACCAAGGTAGCTCTCGGGCTGAGGAGCAGCCAGCCATGAGAAGAGGGGACACTGCACCAGTGAGAGGAAAAGGGCCCAGTGACAAGTTCTAAGTGAGCCCAGAGCTGGGGCATTTCTAAAGTGGGGAATGGTCTGTGTGGCTGGAGTACCGTGAGCAAGATGCAGGGGTAAGAAGGCCATCAGAGGGTCAGGTCATACAGGCCTTGGAGGCCTGAGTCAAGGGGAGGGCTCGCTGAGGGGAAATACAGTCTGATTTAATTTACTGTTTTTATTTTAAAACGAGTATAATATTCACAAGAAATTACAAAGATAGTACAGCAGTCCCATGTACCCTTCACCCTGCTTCCCCCGACTTCAATTCTGAAAAGAAGTTTTTTGGTTCTCTGCTTTGTGAAAAGCGTATTGAAGAGGGATAAAGGTGGAAGGATTGAGAGGACTGGGAGGCAGTTGAGCAATCCCGGTGAGAGGGATTGGGCATCTGCTTGTACCACGATGGTGGGGGCAGAGATGAGGGGAGAGGGTGGGCATTTGTGGCTGCGCTGGGCTGGCTGACAGGACTTGCTCTCGACTGGATGTGTGAAGAGAAGTGGACAGATAGCAGATGGTCCCAGGTTCCTAATGTGAGCAAAGGATGGAGGCGGGGGCCATACGGAGGGGAACAGAGGCGGGTAGGGGGAGAGTTAACCTTAGGCATACAGTTACAGGGCCGTCACCTCAACAGGAGGAGGAGAGCCAGCACCCCCAGGGCTCTCTTGGTGGCTACCCTCTGGACAAAACAAGGTATACAGTTTTTAAAAAATTGAACACAAATGGGCGCATGCTCTCAATCTTGCCCCAAAGAGTTTCTCTTGATGTCTTTCTACATGTAATTAACTATTATTGTCAGAACTTTAACGGTTATTAAGTGGGCGCAAAGAAAAATGTGTCTGTAACTTGGGAAACACCTTGAGTATCATGTCATTGGGTTTCTCTGTTACACGCAGCCTCTCCCAGCTGTCTCTGGCAAGGTGGTAGGACTTAGCCCACATTGGAAATTTGTTAAGTGAACAAACTCCCACAAGGAAGCGCAGAGGCTGTAAAAGGAAGCACACAGCGTGTGCACGTGATCTTACTGCACTAATGGCTCCCGTGGCTGTCCTGAAGCGTTTCACTTCCTGGGCGGAATCCACCGACAGGCCTCTTTTAATGGAAGATGAGACAGAGTTGACTCCTTCTCCACTTGAATTTGGGTCCATATCTGAATCCGGCTGAAAAGACAAACACACACTTGACTTCACTAATTTCTGCGGAGAAGCATGAGGAATATGATAGGGGAGGCCACGAAAGGGCTAGCAGCTCTACCTGCTGGTCCTTGATCCTCTGCAGCTCCCACTTGATGACAACTTCCGACAAGTCTACAGCCAGCCTTCTCTGCTCGATGGTGACGCTGGGCGTGAAGCCCAACCTCTGCATGGCGCTGACCATGTGCTGCACCAGGTGATGCCGCACCGGGTAGTACACCTGTGGGCACGGGGCATGTCACGCAGGATGCTATGTTGTGACCCCAACACACACCTGCACGCACGCAAGCGCACACACACACACACACACACACCCGCCTCAGCCCCAACAGGCTCACATGAGAGAGCCTCCTGCTCAAGAATTCTGAACCCTAACTTCAGCGAGGGAATTCTCATTATGGGAGAGTGTGTGTGTGTGTGTGTGTGTATATCACTTCCTTCGTCCCTGGCTGAGTCCCAACATAATAGTGTATTTCAGCCTTTTAGAAGCATCGTTAAAAAATGTTGAAACACTGAACTCTCTTTAGATAAGCAAGTCTAGTCACATGTATCAAACCTCAGGCTTGACGTCTTAATAATCCATCCATGCCAGGAAGCAAATTCCCAAAAGAGCTGGTGATAAAAGCTTTCAACTCAATGCCATTGGGGTTCCCTTCTCCTCTACCCAAAATCTACAAGAAATATTTACACATGAACAAGTCCAACAAAGGGGGCAATCTGGCTATAAACAAGGTGACAGCAATAAGAACTTTTTTTTTATTTTTTTTTATTTTTTAGCTGAGCCATCCCGCCACCTGTTGGCAGCTCACGGCTGCTCAGCTCGGGCTGACTCGAACCGCTGTTGCTCAGAGCAATAAGAACAACTTTTTAACAGTTACCAAAATCCAAAGTTAATGATGACTCCTCCCAAAGTAACCACTCATCTTTATTCACTGTTAACTGAGTACTTACAAGAAAACTGCAGCCTAGACAGAAAGAAGCAGACACCTGACACATTCTCTGAAGTATACAACTCCCATGTTGACAAAAACCATACACACCTACACGTACTAATCAATGGACCACAAAAACCTTTACTGAAAGATGAATAACCACCTATTTTTGCAGGAAATGAAAAATAGGCAACAGTTCAAAGCAAATGGCTGAAAATGCATTACATACCCATCTACATACAGTACTTTCTACATACCTTAAAATGCTGCACTATCAAATGCAAAATATGAACCAGCTGGGGAACCGTGTGCCCCTCCTCCACGATAATCTTCCTTGTCCAGTGGGTCAACATCTGGTGCCCATCCTCCATTCTGGCTGGCACTGCCGGCGTTAAAATGGCCATCGCTTGTCTGACAATTGCTCGAGCTTCCATTGCATGGGCCTTAAGAAGACTGTGAAACACCTAAAATGGGAGAGAAATTCTTAACTAAGATGAGAATGAAGTCTTTAATAAAACAAGATTTTAAAAAATCACTTAGAACCAAAGCGTGATATTGTTGCAAAACAATTTTTATAAAATTCCTCAGAGGTCTCTTACTGGAAAACAACATAGTTGCTTTCTTTTTCATTAGGTTTTGATAAATGAATACATTCATTCTAATATTTATTGAGCACAGACTATGTGCCCATGCTGGGCTCAAGTGGAATATACCAAGATGAATGAGACTTAGCTCTTTGCAGAGATCTACATCTAGCATAACTGGTGGGAAGTTAGTCGAGGTACACACATGATTCCACTCCAGCCACAGCATAGAAAATAGAGTGAAAGGGGCCATGATAAGAGGCAATCTTGCAATAGTTCCAATGAGTGGTCATGATGTGAGTGGTCAAGTCATGATGGAAGTTTGTTCATGGGAACGCAAAGACCACCCAATTGGTACTGAGGGTGGAGGGACAGGAAGAGCTTTGGAAATCAACAGGAGTTGCCCATGCCTGGATGCCCGGGAAAACGAGAGGTCGTCACAGACGGTCCTCGGTCTCTGGCTGGCATGACTGAGGGGAGCAGTGCCACTCACAGAGACTGTATTTATATCTCAAGTGCCTGTGGGAGGTGATGTCTGAGAGGCCACTGGCTTTTTTGGGGCCTGGGGTTTAATACCACTGAAATTCACGAGAAGAAAACAGAGTGACCTCACAGAATAGGACAAGAGCAATTGATTACATACCAAATGCTTAATGGGACCGACAGGCTGAGTATTCAAGTGTATTATTACAATGAATTCTCACACAGAGACAGTAATCATCCCACTCAGGGTCACAGAATTCTGAGTGGAAGAAACAAAACTCAAACCCAGGGCTGCCTGACATCAAAGCCTAAACCACTGAGGGACTCGGGGATGCACTCAAGACCATCACACGGCAGAGGGCTTATAAGACGAGGGTTCAAAATACCCACTGTGTATGGCTAAGGAGTGGGCTGGGGCCCCTGACCAAAACATTTCCAATGGAACAGAGAATCAGAAGCCAGAATGCCATGGGTAGAGGGGTGTGAGGTGGATGAAGGAGACCTTCTGTTTCCAAAACAAGGTTGCAGAGGAAGGAGAGAACAGTAACTGGGGGCAGGGGGACGAATGTCATGGGAGGCCTCTCAGCACTCCTGAGATGGCAAGACATGAGCATTTCTGAATGGCATCAGGAAGAGATAGCAGAAAAGGAGAGGTCACGACTGTATGGGAGCAATGTGTACATGTGTGGAAATGTAAGGGAATGTCAGGCAGACAGGAGGGGGCCGGGCCAGGTACCTGAAGGACGATTTTCTTGTGGATTGCGAACTTGGCAATAATGTGTGCCAGAAGCAGGTGCCCGCTGTATTTGCAAGCCGGGTCCACGCAGGCCTTGGAGAGCAGGCAGGGCCACGCGAAGGTCATGAGGCGGCGCAGCTTGCTGTTGCGGTTCTTGTTGTTGTCGTGGATGTGGTGCGGCGCGTGCTCCACCAGCAGCGTGGCATACTGCAGCAGGTGGATCCGCAGGGAGTCCAGCATGTCTGCCTGCTTCTCGGGGTCCAGGACCTGTGGGGCCGAGCAGACGGGAGTGCCTGTCCAGTCTGAGCCATTACCCACTAAGGGTCATACGCAGTTAAGCCTCTACACACACACATGCACACACGTTCTACAGGAAGGACCCAATAAAGTCACATCAATTTCCCTTTCGTACGTATGGATTAGATACTCAATGAATTTATTTCAACACTGCAAAGAAAAGGCAGGCTTGCAGTCAGAATGCAGTAGGGAAAGTGGCTTCAGGGGGCAAGAAGGATTTCCTCTTTTATACAAAAGGTTTTTTAGGACTGGATGTCTTAATTTCCAAGTAGTTGAGATTTTTTTTCTTGGTCAGCTATTACCCAGTCCTTACTTTTCAGTATTATAATCAGAAAACATTACCTGGAAGAAAGTCTCTATTTTTAAAAAATTGTTATGGTCTTCTGTGTAACCAAGTATCTGATAGATTTTTTTACATGTCTCATACATATAAGAAAAACTGTACACTGTGAAGAATATTCTACATGTCTCTACTGAATTAAATACACTGACTACATCATTCAGTTCAACTAAGGATCCTAACTACCGTCTGTCTACCAGAAAGATCTGACTGAATTCTTCCATCACAGCTGTTTTCATCAGGGTCCTTTAGCCCCGTTCCTCTCCAGCCTGGATTTGCTGTTTCACCATGGCCCCTGCCCAAGGCTCCGGCCTGCTCTGGCACCATTTATCCTCATCCAACATTCGAAATGCCAACTCCTCACTTGTGCCAAGTCTGTATGTGGACCAACAATAACTCCTTGGTCTCAGCTCTGGTTCCCTTGGAACTGTGGGGTTAGAACTTCAGAAAGGGACAAAGACTATGTAAGTACCAGTAACTTGCTGATGGGAACAACAGTCCCCTCTGCCTAGACCCCAGGACAGAACAGGTGACAGAAGAGGTGAGAAAACTGTGTCCTTCCAAACAGCGTTAATGTGTGTGTGGTACGCTGCAGATGTGGACTGCCAACAGCTCACAGCACTCCAACAAACAACCCATATAAAGAACACTCAGTCTAACAACCTCAAGGCAAACGCAACACCTGCCATGAAGTTCAACTGTCTAACCTGCAGGAGGGCAGCCAAGGCGTTGTGAGAATCACAGCACAAGCATTTCTCAAAGAAAACATTTAATTAAAAAAAAAAAACCTCTTTAGTGCCCACTTGAAACGCTGCTATAAAGATGCACAGACCTTAAAACCTAAGCTAACTTCAGACATGTACTGCCACAAAGATGTTTCACTAACTTGGCAACAAAGGGTCCCGATGGCAACTGTATCCAGTCTAAAGGTCTCCCTGGCTTTCAGTAGATTCCTTTGCAAAGCTAAAGGTGAAAATAGAACATCAAAACTCTCCCAACCTAGGCCTGCCGAGTGGCTCAGTTGGTTAAGAGTTGGCTTAATTAAGAGCACGAGTTCTGAGCAACAGGGCCGCCGGTTAGATTCCCCACATGGGCCAGTGACACTGTGCCTGAGCTGAGTTGTTGCTGAGCTGCTGCCAACAGGTAGCAGGATGGCTCAGCTGGTGTAACAAGGTGCCTGTTCGATTGTGGGCTATGCCCACCCGCAACTAAGACTGAACTCGGCACCTTGAGCTGAGCTGCCGACCGGATGGCTCAGTGGATAGGACATGTGCTCTTAACAACAAGCTGCCAGGTTCGACTCCCACGTGGGATGGTAGCTACGCCCACCCGCAACTAAGATTGAACACAGCACCTTGAGCTTAGAGGCCACGAGCTGCCAACGGGAAGCCAAATGGCAACTGGCGCCCTCCACAACGAAGATTGAAGAGCAACAACTTGGCTGGTCCCCTTCCCCAATTCCCTAGCACTGTTCCCCTCCACCAATCCCCCAATAAAATCTTTAAAAAACAACAAAAAAAAACTCCTGATCAGTAACAGGAGTTTTAATGTAGAAAACTTAATTTATTCCAAAGACAACTGCCTTAAAAAATTCACTAAGGGCCAGCCGAGTGGCGCGATGGTTAAGAGCTGGCTTGGGACGCCAGAGGGCCCCAGTTCGGATCCCACATATAAGGGCCAGTGACACTGCCCTCTACAGCTAAGATGCTGAACAACAGCTCAACCTGGAGCTGGGCTGCCGTGAGTCGCTGGCGACGGCGTANCTAAGATGCTGAACAACAGCTCAACCTGGAGCTGGGCTGCCGTGAGTCGCTGGCGACGGCGTAGGCTGCAGCCCCTGTGGCAGTGGGTTGCCATGAGCTACCGTGTGTAGCCAAGCAGCCAGTGTGAGCGGCCAGCAGCCACTGTGAGCGGCCGTCCAGAAGCTGGCGACTGATCTCCCTCACCCGGGAAGAGCACAATGATGGCGCCAACTTGGGCCAGTGAATCAACGTCCTCCACAACTAGACTGAAGAACAAAAGGACAGCAACTTGTCTGTTCCCATCCCCCAATTCCCTAATAAAAATCTTTAAAAAAATAATAATAATTCACTAAGAATTATAATACAGTAGTGTCCATCCCCCACCCCCTCCATAGTATCACTTTCCACAGTTTCAGGTGCCCACAGTTCACTGTGGTTCAAAAATATTAAATGGAAAATTCCAGAAATAATTCATAAGTATCATCATTCTGAGTAGCCCAAGGAAATCTTGCAAGTCCCGCTCCATCCGGCCTAGGATGTGAATCACTCCTTCGTCCTGCATCTCCACACTGTAAACGCTTCCTGTCCGTCAGTCCCTTAGTAGCCACCTCAGTTATCAGATGGACTCTAACAGTATCACAGTGCTGGTGTTCAAGTCACCCTTATTTTACTTAATAGTGGCCCCAAAGTACAAGAGTAGTGAGGCTGGCAGTTCGGATATGCCAAAGAGAAGTCAGAAAGTGCTTCCTTTAAGTGAAAAAGTGGAAGTTCTAGAGTTACTAAGAAAAAAGTTACATGCTTAGATTGTTAAGATCTAAGGTAAGAACAAATCTTGTATCTGAAATTGTGAAAAAGAAATTCGAGCTAGTTTTGCTGTCGCACCTTGAACTGCAAAAGCTACAGCCACAGTGCTTCGTAAGTGCTTAGTTAAGATGAAAAAGGCACTAAATCTGTGGGCAGAAGACATGAAAAGAAAACGTGTTCCTCCGATTGATGACAACGTGTTGCACCAGAAAACACTGAGCCTATACGAAGACTTCACAACGGAGCCCCTGAAATGAGGGACACCAAGCCATTTACTACAAAGTAAGGGATGGTTACACAGACTCAGGAATAGGTTTGGCATTTTATCATCTCATATCATCACAAGAAGGGTAAGTACAGTACAATAAGATATTTTGAGAGAGGCCACATTCATATAACTTAATTATTACAGTATAGTGTTATAACTATTCTATTTTATTATTTTTAATCTCTTCCTGTGCCTAATTTATAAATTAAACTTTATCATAGGTATGTACATACAGGAAAAAACATACGATATATAGAAATCGGTACTGTCCACGGTTTCAGGCATCCACTCAGGGTTTTGGAACATATCCCCCTGGGGATAAGGGGGACTGCTGTATAATGCTCTTATTTCAATGAACCCATCACACACGCACTCACGCATCTCCCAAGTTACTTTTCACGCCAATGCATTGTTAGTCACCTTGGTTATAAACACACTGGTGATGCTTTCTGGGTTATCGCCTTCTGGATTGGGAGGTCCTAAGAGCTGCTCTCCTTCCCCCTTCTCAAAACTGTGTAAGAAAGCAGGATTCAAGATATGCTGCAGAACCTACCAAAAAAAAAAAATTTAGAAGATTGAGAAGGAAAACAAAGCTATGTTCTTTATTTGATAAGGTTGGCAGGCCCACCATTTTGGTCATATGGTAACCCATAGGGTTAAAACTCCATCAAGGGTGCAACTGATAATCTTGACTTTTATTCAAATGGTCAACTGGAAAGGTAGGTTAAGAACTTGAGAAAATAGATGTCAGCCTGGTTTACTCTTCTCACTTCAAACAAGTCATTTTCTAAAAACAGGGAAACTAACAAACTACAGTACTTTTCAACACTGTTCACTGCTGAATCTGCCTTATGTTTTTCATCAATGGCATTTTCCTCATAAAGAGTCCAGACTATTATTCAAGTGTCAACAGAGACATAGCAGAAGATGAATGGGATCCTTGGTTCCCTAGAAAATCAACTTGAACACCCACAACTTCCACTGCAAAAGAGTGGGTCTCACCTTGGCTTTCAGTTCATCTCCAAAGTTGGGGTCACTGAAGTCCACAAAGTGAAAAAACAGGGCACGTTTTTGAGCAATGCTATAATTTTTGGGAATCTCTTCCTCCATATATTCTTTTAAGAACGTCATGTTGCAGAGAAAACGACCAGTAAAGGCTCGGAGCAGCTGGAACAGCAATTCTATGTCTCCATAATTCCTTCTGAAGGGTTGAACAGAGAACAGGTTAAACCCTGGCAAGTTTCATTACGATGTATGATCCCAACTTATCTTTTAAACAGCTAAACGAATAATAACCCATTCTATACAACAAATTTGACTACACATAGCCAATGAACCACAGCTGTACGCAAATTACCAAATCGGCTCTAGTTTAGCTTATCGAATAGAACAAGTCACTTGACATAAAGCACAACAGATACACCCACTTGCAATAATTGAGCAGACAGTAGGCCAGCAGCTTGGGCTCCTTCCAGTTTGTGGCAGCCATGTTCTCCTTCCGGTGTCTTTCTTGAAAGGTTTCACTGACCCACACACGTCTCAAGTGGCTCACCAGAGAATGCTGATTGGCCAGCCAGGAGTCATTGTTTTTAACTATGATACTTATGATCTGTCAAGGAAAAAAAAATTAGCGAACTGGCAGGGTTCTCTGTGTGTCCACTAAACTTTTAAGATCCCAAGTGTCTAATGAAGAGACGTTACCTTGATGGCCTGAAACTGGAGGTCCAGGCGCATTGTGCTGGTGCTGGGCGAGCCCGGGCGCACTGCCGTCTGGGTGCCACCGGGCAGCAGCAGAGTGATGAACCTGTTGGGGTTAGCCGCCAGCACATCGCGCAGCGGTCTGGCATCTTTGTGTTTTAAAAAACTCTAGAAACAAAACAAGATAAGCTGTTTTAAGCTAATAAAAAAAAAAAATCACAAAAGGTTCAGGTGTGATATAAACTCTAAGATTCTTTCTAAACCTTTCTAGGCAGGCTGAAAAAAAACACTACAAGCACCCTTTTTAAGAAGTGCTTTTTAAACAGTAATCACACTTTATGATGATTCTAATAATCCTAGCAGCTCATTCATTTGTTACCACCATCAAAATCCTACAGAGAGGGATTCCTGGACTTGAACTCTTCATATACACAGTGATGTTTCTAATTTTCAAATATGTTAGCAAAAAACAGAGCACACCAGCTAACACAAATCTGCAGGGATACCCAACTCCAGCTCCTTGTGCTCTTACCATAAACATTCTGCTCCACTGGGGGTCGTTCAAGGTTGCCTCCATCATGAACAGTTCCACAGTCTGGGAGGGGTGCCGCGTCAGGAACTTGATCAGAGGCTCTCTGAAGGGGCTGCCAGCCTAGAAAACATGTGGTGAAAACGTGTCTGCTCAGGGCTCTATCGACCTAATGTGGAAGGAGTATACATTTCTCCCCCTCGTAACTGAGTCTGCTGACATAAGCAAATATTAATATCTAACATCTTCATACTGTTAGATGAATCCATCTAAGTTATAACACTGAAAATAGTATAAGCAACAGAGGAAGAATCAGAATTAATCCTAAATTTGACCCTTACCTCAATCAACATAGCCCGTTCTGTTTTCATCACAACCTCTAACAAAGGTTTGACCAGAGTTTGAGGTGCAGCTGGGATCAGATGAAAAAGGTTTATAATTGCCGAACAAATTTTCATTTCCTAATGAAGAAAATAAAAAATTATAAAATTGGCCAATTAATTTCGTTAACCACAGATATCAACATTACTACAGACCCTACTACCGTCTAGCTACATTCACAAGCTAGCCACCAGATGCAGAGTTAACGTGTAAGAAGCACCACTTACCAGTCTCACATGACAGCTGTGGCCTAAGGAGACTACCTGCCCTTGGCCTTCAGAGTTCATCTGTCAGCGGAGGGGAGGGGAGCTGGCTGTGCTCCCTGTCATGGTTGTGCTGTCTGTTTTTCCACACACTGACAAGTGTGGGGAGGAAACTAGGGGTTGCCCAGGCCAGCCCCTCCGAGGAGAGGATACTCATGCCCATGGCTGTGAGAGTGTTAGGAGTCCCTCCGTTTACTGTGACATCATGGGGTCTTCCCAATGCACTAAGCTCTGAGGTCAAAGACTTATTTTGCCCTCAAAACTCAGCACCACGTCCTCAAAAGATACTTAAGTATTTACCCTGGAAATTAAGTATCAACGTAAATAAATGATTGACCATGGTTTTAAGTATCTGTCAATCAGGCCTAAAACTAAAGCTGGCACACAGCTTTCGGGGAATCGTATGAAAAATGTGAAACGCCAAGAATTTTGCACCTTTTAACATGCTACCAGCTCAGTGGCCAATTTCTCTGAGCATCACTCCCCCTTCCCATTCTCAGCATCAGTTCCCACAGTTTTGGGTCTGCAATTCCAGGGAATTCCCCATGACCACAGGGAGGGAAGACTGAGGCACCAGCCTGCGCGGTGTGCAGCAGGGTGTCCATGACTCCACGCTCAGTAAAATGAGGATGATAAACACTGGTCGAGAGGGAGGGACCACATCCGGCAGCATCTGAGATACTGCTCAAAACACCTCTTTAAACCAAAAGGCAGAAGAGTGAGATGGGTTAAAAAAAAGTGAGAAAATCTGCTCAGTGTCACCTCCATGCCACCTCTAGAGTTCTCTCATACAGTGTTTTCAAGACTTCGCACACATTACGTTCTATGCTGAAATTAGAATAACATTCTAATAATGGTCCTTTTATATTATAGTTTTTCTTTTTCCAAGCACTGTCACGAAATCACTTCTTTTGGTCTTCCCAACACCACTGGAAGACAGGAATGACAGGTATTATCATCCCCATTTTACAGAAGAGGGAAAGCTCAGAGCTGACTGTCCAAAGTCACAGTGTGGGGACCCCATCGGTGTGGGTGTGTGGACGAGGTGCAGGGCACTGGGAGTGGGGAGGCATGAGATCGGTACAGAGAAAGAAAATGTAACTCCCCCCGACTCCTGGCAGGTAGAACATGTTCTTTGTGGAGTTTCCTCTCCAGAGGTTGTTAGATGTATGATTTCATACAAACATTATAATAGCAAAATCCAACTGAATCTTAAATATTGAGATATTGCAATTCTAACACATAGAAAAACCAAAGAACTTAGAATCTGGCTTAAAACATCCTAATAGAAAACATGCGTGGCACCCGGACAGTTCACAGCAATGATACTAATACAACTCTGCCACAGACAGACAATACGGCTCACTGCACTCAAAGGCACAACGCACTCTGTCCACCACAGAACCACAAGTCACAGCAAAACCAAATACGACCACAACCCCCTCCTGCACCTCCACTGAAATTCTCACCTCTACCCCTTCCATGGCAGGCTGAACCAAAACAAAAATTACAGCATGAAAAAAGGCAACGAAAAGGTGAAAAGAAAAGAAATATAAACTGTTCTTCACATTGCAAGTCATAAACTGACTTTTAATAGGTTGTTCTCACCTCAAACTGACAGAATGGAGACAAGGAACATCTCCCGCACTCTGAAATGTTTTCCTGAGGATGGGGAGGAAAATTATCTTTTTTCTATTTATGTTATTTACATAAAAACTTCCCATATACTCATACACAGTAAGGATTATTGGGGTAAACAAGACAGTAAAGACACAATTATCAGAAAGCACACAATAATTAATAAATGCTCAACAGCAAAAAAAACACCTTCCACCCTTCAGATGTCAAACACAGCCCTTCTGAGAGTGTCGAATAGAGTGTATTCCTTCCATAAATCAAATTCAAAAAACTAGGAATTTTGTAATTCTTGTCTAGGGGGAGAAACTTAAGACCTTGTTGTATGCAAACACATTTAAAAACTGTTTTGTTTAGAGTGAATTATTCGAGATTTTATGTGAAGCGCCAAGACATTAAAAAAAAACCTCTTTCCCAGCTAAAGTCAGGAGAGTACCAACAGGCTTAAGCCCCATCAATTAGGAGTGTCTGAGGCCCTCACACTCAGAAGATCCCACAGGCCACAACCAGGTACCTGCGCAATCTTGTGAAGTAAAGCTGTGCATGTGTGTGCACATGTGAGTGTTAGTGTTGGGGGGGGGGGCCGCGCGCACGCGCGCGTGCACACAGGCACTGAGGGTGTCTGTGTGTGGCATAACAGGTGGTCAGGAGTTCTATCCTGGAAGTTCAATGCTAAGCAAGCAAACCTTCCTAAACATGATGATGGTGCAAAGCTCTGATCATCGGGGATGCCCAGCATTACAGAGGGGCTTTTATTTATTTATTTTTAATCAACTAGTCAATACGTCTTCAGTCATAGTTTCTCAATCAGGCAATGTTATTTGGGGATTTAACCAAATCAGAACAAACTACTTTCCAAGAACTATTCCCAATCCTGGACAGCATCCATAAAAATGACCAGAGCTCAGGTGCACAAAGATGGCTTGGCCAGGGTCATGATGTCTAGGGACCCCAAACGCCACGGCCTGAGTTCAGACCTGCGGCCTCCCTCACACAGCTGGACGTTCCTGGCTACTCAGGGAATACACTCATCCAACAACCAACGTGTTTCATTCAGCAGGAGCTCAAGGACTTCCCAATACCCACCACTCCATCCCCTATGCAGCTGCCCCCACCCCGAGCCCTCCAAATAACTTGCTATAAAAGTTTATGGAACTTTTTTTATCTAATGAAGTCATTCATCTACCCACTAGGTTTTTAAATATTTATTCTAGAACTGGCTAGGTGTTTCAGATAAGTAACAGCTTATTATAAAAACAAATATAAAATTCAGAGCGAAAATACCTAACAGATGAAGGACAGGGAGGAAACGTAGAGACACCTGCACCTACTCCCAAGAGCTTAGGCTTTTAAACACACTCTGCTCTCTTCCACGAAGATTCCCTGATTTTTTTTTCCTGTTTATATAAATAACAAACCTTCAAAGAGGTCATGGCTGGCATAACACTCCTAAAAAAGTTTAAAAATCCTGGTTTAGTTTTGCTTAGTTGGCTCTTTAGAAGCAGCAAGAAACAAGACTTACAGAAATAAAACACTTGACACACAATGGTGAAAACAAAGCATAATAAAGCCAAAAAAAAAAAAATCAAGTTGGAATGAAACACAGCATCCAACAAATGGGCACAGGAGGAACAAAAAGCCACGTTAATTATGCCTCTGAAGAGCTACAGGGTTCTCTCATCCGGACTGCTGTACAATTTCACTAGGCAAAACGGGAACTTACGGAAAACACAACCTCACCGACAGGACAAGCATCAACTTAAAAAATATTTTAAAAGAATATTAACATATACAAGTAAGATTAGAGTCAAAACAGCAAGAACCATTCATTTTTAAGAAACAAAATCTTTAATGACCAACATTGGAGACTTAGAAAGATTTGACTAAAGTGGCTTTCTCTCAAAACTATCAGGATGTGTTTTGAAGTACTGGCCATTTGACTCTTGGCAAACTACTGGGGTGGGGGATTTAGACCTAGAAAACATACATTCTTTTACTTTTACAGTGATGCTTTGTTATGTTGTCCTAATGCTTTTAAGTCCTAAAATCTCTACGTGGTTTTATGAGGCGATGACGATGGGAAGCCATGGAAAACAACAGCTGAGGAGTGCACCACCATGCAAACAGCAGCTGCCAAGAACAGTCTAGAAAACACACTTGATACATTTTAAAGCAAAACTAGTAACATGGAAATACTAACGTTTCGAGCTTCCCAAAATTCTCATCAACAAAAACGTCATATTAAAGTGAACAAAAGGGAGATTTTAAAGGAACATAAAAAAGAATGTTTTCAACCATTAGGAGAAATGAAAGGAAATATAATGCTACTAAAATATGTTTAACAATTTAAATGGACTATAATCATATAAAACTAGATTTCTGACCAGCATTTTAATTAAAAGCACTACTCCAACATTAACACTGAGAACAGCAGTGCCGGGCAGGGTGGCCCCTCCCAGAAACACACAAGTCACTCACGTTTCCGTCGCTCCTCTGGCCCCCTTTATGGGTGAGGACCACCACTTCCATCCACTTTCGCAGATGTTGCTGTGGAAAAAAAATACATCCTTAGACATTTCTTCCTCACAACAGGGGCATTTCAATTCCCAAATGCTGCTCTTAGGTGAAAACTCATACGCAATCATTATTTCCATCATATTTAATGTGAGAACGGCAGTGTTCCTATTACTGAAATAGCCCAACCATCACACTAGTGCTGAGAATAATTGGCATTTATTTATGTCCTACACATAGGCTGAATTTACCCTGCTACAACAGAAAACATGCCGAAACCTGGCCATTCCAACACCAGGATGTTTACTAGCATCCATCATTACTTCTGTCACCTTACTACTGTGTTACTTTGCGTCACAGCAGTTCACTGAGTGCCGCGGGCACCATGTTAGGTAGCAGGGCAGAGAAGCAAACAAGCAGACATCATCGCTGTCCTCGTGGAGTTCAGGTTCCAGTGAGGAAAACAAGGTAAAACACGGGTACACGCTGTGTGCAACAACCACTGTGGTAAGAATTGTGAAGGACTAATGGGAACCTGCTTTAGATGAGGGTGGAGGAGGTCAGGGAGGGCCCTGCTGAGGCACCCGTGCCAGGAGCACAGGCAGAGTAAAGGAGGGACAGAGGCCCTGAGGCCAGACGCAGAGAGGCGGCCACTGCAGCTGAAGATATGGACACAGAGGAAGCTCCAGGGAAGGATGAGCAGGATCCCACCAGGTCAGAGCCACACAAATCAGTGCAGAGGTGGCAATTCCCTTCTGTGCAGACTGAGGGCAATCGTTCTGTGACAGAGCCCATGTTCTGCTGCCAGAGCAAGAGGAGAGAGACCCTGAGCCCAGGGCGACTGTGGCCTGACCTGGGCATGTGGCAGGTCCAGCAAAACCCGGAAGACAAGCACTCATAGCCTACAGCTAAGACCACAATAGCATCCAAATAAATAACAGAAGTATCTTCATTATCCTACACTATCCAACATGCTCTTCTAAACACTGATGCTGCACAGGTTAGTGAATCACTTCAAAAAAAGACTGCGGTAAAGCAGGCTTGGGGACAGATGGTTTAAATACACCTACACACTTTCTCTGAATCCTTAATGTAAAACTTCAGAGAGAAATACAGTAAGTTGTGTTTCCCAAACTTACATAGCTAATGAACTGCATCTAATGGAAAACCTACATCTGGCCAAGGTTCCAAGGAACACACATTGAGAAAACACTAGAACAACACACATTGCTGCAAAACACTAAGCACATTAATGTTTTACCAGTAAGATTCCTGGAAAGGTATCACCAGAATATATATATATTCATGTATCTTATTAGAACAACTATTTATACCAAAGACATGAAGTAACACTATTAAAGGTAAAGAACATGGCCAGCTATATATGTCACGGTTCACTCTGCTTTTAGATTCCCCAAAGGACAAAAAATAGTGCTAACTGGTATATAAAATTCATTTTCAGTCCAGTTAAGAGATATCCAAAACAACTAATCACATCAGAGGCTTCACAACCAAATGTCAGGTAGTTCAAATTTTAAGTAAGGAAAATTTCCAAAGTTGTTTCCATGAGTGCCCACTCTACATACTACATAGTAAGTCATCTTATCTCTTAAAATTATGATGAAGGCTTGAGCTGTTAACCTCAAAATACATCATATGAGGGACAACGAAAGCTGTGCCTGAGCTCAGTTCTGCAGGACATGACTGAGTGAGGGCAAATGTGTCCCTAACCACCACACCTGGGAGATCACCATGGGCACAACATACGTACATCAGGAAGACGCGAGCCACACACACAAAACACCATCAGCACAGGTCCTGGCTGGACTTGGGCGAGATGGGTGCCAGATGAAAATGGCTGAACTAACAGTAGCTTCAATCATTCTTTACCCAAGTACATCAACACTCTCTGCTTTGAGAGGATTTCCAACCACTCAGAAAGCAGCTATAATGCAGAGAAGGAAAAAAACATTCCCTGAACTAATCAGAAACACAAAACCCATGTAGTTTATTTTAGGGAAAAAGAATCCTGGCTTTAACTAGAAACTACAGACCATGAGGCCATTTTCTTCACGTTGTTCTAAAAAAATTTGGATAACAATGTTTAGTGAATGAATTCCCAGCTCACAGCACATCGGAAGGGTTAGATTGGCTTGTGGGGAAGGCCAAAGTTGCTTCAGGCAGGCATGCAATGACAACAAGAAATGACAGCTGACAGAGGGAAGAGATAGACTAATTTTTAAAAGGAGAGAAATATAAAAACATTAGGACATTGAGAATACATGCACAGATCTCACATGAAAGCACCAATAGTTGTATATTATGTAAGATAAAGTGTATACTTGTGCTCTGATTAGAAAATGATAGGGCCGGCTGAGTGGCTTAGTTGGTTAAGAGCTCGCTCAAGAGTTTGAGCTCTGAGCAACAGCTGTTCGAGTCCCGGCCCGAGCTGAGCAGCCGCTGAGCTGCCAAGAGGTGGCAGGATGGCTCAGCTTAAAAAAAAAAAAAAAGAAAAAGAAAGAAAGAAAGACCACACTAAATCAGCGTATGGCAAAGACTGCCCGGGGTGAGAGGACAGAAGCGATGATGGAAAAGACAGCTTTGGCGGCTGGAGCCAGGCTGGAGCCTAGCGGAAGTAGTTGGGGCACTCATGGGCAACCAGGTGCCAGGCTTGATCAAAGGCCTGCACCACAGCTGGCTCCAGAGGCCCTTCCTCAGTTGCTGCCAGGTTCTGTTCCAGCTGCTCCAGGCTGGACATGCCCAGGATGACCGCGTCCCCNAAAAAAAAAAAAAAAAAAAAAAGAAAATGATATAATTTCGCTTACTGTAACCACAATTGCTTGTAAGCATATATTACATATATTTGTAAACTTAAAGGGAAGTCTTCCAAATAGGAAAATTCACTTCCATATAACACTGTTTCCAAATTACACTCTATAATTAGGGCATCAATTACAATTTTTAGGATCAATTATAACACTATCAGTTCCCAGTGAGGTATTTTGGTCATTATGTATTTTTTAGCTGTCTACATATATGAAGAAACCAGTATGTAAGGTAAAAAGCTGTGTGGTTTTCATATACACTCCATACCTGTATCTAAATCTAGCTATCTATCTGCCTACTCTTGTTTACCACTGGGGGAAAGGCATACAAAAGCCAAAATGACACCTCCAGTATCTTAAAATGTCTAAATGGACAAAGGATACTTAGGAAACATAAGCATGAAAAATACATGTATGTTTGTAGTAGCATATCATGAAATTGTAAGTTAACAAATTATTTATAAAAGTCTATTTACCAGAAACAAAATAAAAATTTTTTTTAAAGTTAATAGCTGAACCGCCTTCATCTGCTTACACTTCAAATTTAAACACTGCCAAACAGGTATTTTATTTGCATACCTATTTCCTTGGTAATTTTAAAAAATCAAAGGCCGTCTAGAGTTCTTACAAGATTTTCACTGTATCACTGTCTATAATGGCAAAAGACTGGGAACAATCTCAATGGTCATCAGTAGGGGAATGGTTAAATAAATTGTGGCATGTCCACGTAATAAAATATCGTATCGCCATAAAACAGAATGAAGAAGCACTTTGTGTTCTGATACGAAGCGATGGGGTGGTAAATAGAAAAAGTAAAAACTGTGTGTCTATTATGCTTCCTTTTGTGGGAAACAAAAGAATATACACATCTCTTATTACAAATGTAAAACACCTCTAGGACACACAGCACACTGTTCACACTGGGTGTCCTGGGAAGGGGAGTGGGGATTTGAAGGACAGAGAGAGATACTTTTCACAGCATGCTCTTCTATACCCTTTCAATTTTACATCACATAAATATATTGCTTATTTATAAAAATAATGTAAATTTTCTGGTTTATTAATGAGTATGTTTAGCTGCATTTGGCTTACCATCATCTGATCACAAAATTTATCATTGAAGGAGTTTGGGAAGAGCCTGGTAACCGAAGTCAGACGATTCACAACATTCAGAGTCAAGCTTCGATAATCCCCCAGCATCATCAACAAAGGTCGCATATGTGTGTGGATTTGATCTACTTCTATGGTAGCACCTTCTAAAAACTATTAGAAAAGAAAGGTTACAAATGAAAACAGATAACAGAATATACTTTATAATAGAATGGAACACATAAGCAACTTTGGCAGCAAGTTGTCTTCTCTTGGGAAAATGGAATAGTAACCGTACATATTCCAGGAGTTTATGATGAAATGAGGAAGATTAGCCATTACTGTTTAATACAAGGTGTGATCAAAAAATATGAATGTCCAATTTAAAAATGGGCAGAGGACATGAAGAGACCTTTTTCTAAAGAGAACATACAGATAGCCAACAAACACATGAAAAAATGCTCAATATCACTAATCATTAGAGAAATGCAAATAAAAACCACAATGAGATACCACCTTACCCCGGTCAGAATGGCTATCATCAATAAATCAACAAACAACAAGCGCTGGTGAGATTGTGGAGATAAGAGAACCCTCGTGCACTGTTGGTGGGATTGCAGATTGGTGCAGCCACTATGGAAATCAGTATGGGGGTATCTCAAAAAGTTGGAAACGGAACTACCTTATGACCCAGCAGTTCCACTCTTAGGTATCTATCCAGAGAAACCCAAAACATTAATTTGAAAAAATATATGCACCCCTATGTTCATTGCAGTGCTATTTACAATAGCAAAGACTTGGAAACAATCGAAATGCCCATCGGTAGATGACTGGATTAAGAAATTGTGGTACATTTACACAATGAAGTATTACTCAGCTATAAAAAAGAATAAAATCTTACCATTTACAATGATATCGATGGACCTAGAGAACATTATGCTAAGTGAAATAAATCAGACGGAGAAAGACAAATACCACATGACCTCACTTATATGTGGAATCTAAAGAATAGAATGAGCAAACTAACTGAAAAAAGAAAAAATACAGTGAATGTTTAAGTAAAAATATTACAGTAAAAGAAGCATTGCCATTAATCCCCCACAAAATACTCCCCCTCGCTTCAAACACACTTATCCCATTGTTCTTGCCTCTTTCTGAAGCAGTTCTGGAAGTCCTCTTTCGTGAGTGTATTTAGCTGTGCTGTAATGGCTGCCTCAATGTCCTGAATCATTTTGACTTGGGAAAAGTGCCAGAAGTTGCACGGTGCCAGATCCAGTGAATAAGGTGGATAAGGATACACTGTAATGTTTTTATTTGACAGAAATTGCTGTATACCAGAAGCGATGTATGACACGGAGCATTTTCATGGTGGAGGATGATTTATTGCACTTTAAAACACCTTCTCTCGACCATAGCTCAAGCCCAACTGACTGCACTGAACAAGTTGAAACTTGTCACACACCATTACTAAGGTTCGACGGGCTGCTTCCCGTATTGAAGATCTCTGCTTTTCTGTTGGATTGCACTTGGCAGCAACATTCACCGTATTTTGTGATCACAACAGAATGGCTCCGTGTCACACAAGGCTTCTGGTACGGCAATTTTTGTCAAATAAGAACATTACGGGGGCCAGCCAAGTGGCGCGATGGTTAAGAACTGGCTTGGGGGGCCGGCTGAGTGGCTCAGTTGGTTAAGAGCTCGCTCAAGAGTTTGAGCTCTGAGCAACAGTGGTTCGAGTCAGCCCGAGCTGAGCAGCCGTGAGCTGCCAACAGGTGGCGGGATGGCTCAGCTAAAAAAAAAAAAAAAAAAAAAAAAAAGAACTGGCTTGGGAAGCCAGAGGGCCCCGGTTCGGATCCCACATATGAGGGCCAGTGACACTGCCCTCTACAGCTAAGATGCTGAACAACAGCTCAACCTGGAGCTGGGCTGCCTGTGAGTCGCCGGCGACGGCGTAGGCTGCAGCCCCTGTGGCAGTGGGTTGCCATGGGCTACCGTATGTAGCCAGCAGCCAGCGTGAGCGGCCATCAGCCGCTGTGAGCGGCAGTCCAGAAGCCGGTGACTGATCTGCCTCACCCGGGAAGAGTGCAATGATGGTGCCAACTTGGGCCAGTAAAGCAACGTCCTCCACAACTAGACTGAAGAACGAAAGGACAGCAACTTGTCTGTTCCCCTTCCCCCAATTCCCCAGTGCTGTTCCCATCCCCGAATTCCCCAATAAAAATCTTTAAAAAAAAAAAAAAAAAAAACATTACGGTGTGTCTTCATCCACCTTACTCACCAGATCTAGTATGTGCAACTTCTGGCTCTTCCCAAAAGTCAAAATGACCATGAAAGGTAAACATTTTGAATTGATTCAGGACATCGAGGCAGCCACAACAGTGCAATTAAAGGGAAGTGGACTTCCAGAACTGCTTTAGAAAGTGGCAAGAACGATGGGATGTGTTCGAAGCCAGGGGGAGTGTTTTGAGGGGAATTAATGGCAATGTGTCTTTTATTGTAATAATTTTTTTTTATTTAAATATTCACTGCATTATTTGATCACACCTCGTATTTTAAAAGGGTCTATATGACTATGCAACAGGTAGAGACATCATTACAATCCAGTATTAACCACAGGACTTCCAGGCACACAGACAAGGTAAACAGGAAGAGTTCCTCAGGCGAGTTTTCGCACCCCCAGCCCCCCCTCACCTTTCTCATACAGGCTTCTCCGGCCTCCTGGAGCTCACTATTGGTGGAATTAAGTGCTTTGAAGAGCGCAGCAATGATCTTCTCTCTGGACTGAGGAAGATAATTGCAGGCAGCAAGCGCATCTTTAGGGAGAGAAATCAATACAATTTCATTATTAACCTGAAAAATACATGAACAATTTCCTTGTCTAAAGGCTCTTACCAATCAACAAAAAATATGCATCACTAAACCTCTTTCCTAGTATCTAGCCTCAATAAAGACAAAAGAATGCATGGTCTTCTATTCAAATTATCTAAAAGTGATGTCAACAGCCAGCCAGAAAGGCCATAAATCTTACACCCTCCAAATAGGAGGAAGAGGGCTGGAGGGTGACAACGGAGTCCCCACTGACACTGCTATCCCCAAGACACCTTCACATAGGGTGAGCATGGCTGACCTGCAGACAGACACGCTGAATTCATGCCGAGGGCACAACCTTGAATACTGGTGGTAAAGGGAACACACAGACAGACAGACACACAGCCTGGCTTCTCTCCACTATCCATGTCTAATCAGGCAGCCTCCTCCCAACTTGGGGGATTAAAGGCTTTGAAAATACAAATATTCTTAGGAAAGGGGACAAACCTCAATCCTATGTTAGTTAAGAGATAACATTCTGGCAAGAGTAATGTCCATATCAGCTAACAGGAATGTATGAGAGGCACCTCAAAAAAAAAAAACCCAGCAGAAGTGAGAAGCTGCCACATCGCTGCACGGCACCAGCCCCCATCCTCAAGATCGGGTCTACAGTCTGTCTCTGCTCCTTGCTGCTAACGCAAAGATTCTAGCAATATTTTATTAAGGGTATAAATATCAACAAAGCAAGAGACAAAGTCAACTAAAATGCTAATACTGGGTATTTATTTACAAAAAAAAAAAAGGGGGGGGGTGTGACTGTTTCTAAGTACAAGGGTGAGTACTGATCTAGAACATTTTCCTAAACTTTGCACAATTTCTGTGCCCAACACTGATAACTGACATTCTTCATGAAAGCCTAGAGATAGGAGGAGTCTCAAATACTCCTGAATGATTATAAAGTCTACAAAGGTTGTCATGTATCTTACTATATACCCTGATGCAAATGAAAATGGACTATATGAATGATATGACAACTCTCTAAAACCAGAATATTAGGTTCTTAAGAGAACTATAAAGAGTTTACAATAGAGGAAAATCCATAGTTTACTACAAAATAAATTATTTAAATCCTAACAACCTAATCTACTGATACCTCATTGTGTAGTTTAATAAATAATGCGAACATAACATTTTGATCTCACCTTTAAAAGAACATAAAAATCCCCCCAAAAAATTAGACAACAAAAAAGGTCACTGTTCCCTTTCACTTTTAAACCCAGTAACTTGCTTCCGATTTGCATGAACTTACTTAACGCTGCAATTCGCAAAGGAACGAGTGACGGGAGGCTTTTGTAACAGGGCAGCTTTGTTAAAGCTGAATCTTCAGCCTCGCACAAATTCAAGAGCTGCAAAAGAGAAAACGTTTTAATTTAGCCTGCTCTTCCTGTAAAGCCATAAGAACCTTGAAAATAACAGGACACAGCAATCTTCCACACACCCCACAACACAACTACCAACTGACAAACTAAACCTCAAGAATTTACGAATCAAAATGTGACCGAGCTCCCTTATTCTACAGCTAGCTCAGTCAGCCTTCCTAGTAAAAGAAATTACTTTCTCACCCACTGATACCATGTTTTTCTTTACACAGAGAATTACTTTAACTACAAATTCCACGATGGCAGGTACTCGCCCTTGTTCAGAGTCGCTTCCCAATGTCTTGGGCCAGAGCTCAGCAAATATAAGTGCTATCAGTCAATCATTTGAACAACAATACTTTTTTTTCCAAGTACAGAAAAGCATAAAGAAGGAAGTTAAAAGTCACTGGGAATACCATAACTCAGAGATTCTGAAAATGGTTATCCTTCTAGACCAGGGGTCGGCAAACTTTTGAGACGGAAGAGCCAATCCTGTCCCTCAGAACAATTTAAAAATTATTCGAGAACCATAAATATATTTTTACATAATCACCATTATGTGAATAAGATCCTTTAAAAATTTTATAAATGAAACTATGATAGTTTTATTTTCATTTTCAATTTTACTTCAGAGCCACATGTACGTACCCAAAGAGCTGCATGTGGCTTGTGAGCTGCAGTTTGTTGACCCCTGGTCTAGACATTTATTATCATACCAGTATATATTTATATATCTAATAGCTAATTACCACATATAGTGTTTTATTATTTTCCCATTCTATTTACATCCTCAAAAAATTTTATAGACTATACCCTATTTTTCCTTAAAGATTCACAACAGTGGAAAAGTATATACAGTGATAACTCTAAGTTACCACCCCATTCCACTCCCCTAAAAAAAAAATCACCAGTACTAGTTACTTGTATGACCTTCAAAACTACTCTACTCATATAAACAGGGGTGTGTACACACACATATACAGATGCAGACACTTATATCCATATCTAAATAACTACAATACAATGCCAGAGTTCCAAAAGTAACCGTACACCCAAATCCCATGGGAAGCTTTCCAGATAGATTCTCAGGTCTGACCCCAAATCTACTCCAGGGAGAGGACTCACGAGTCTCTATTTTACAAAGATCCTCACACGTTTTGATGCAGTTAGCACACTGATGTAAACTTAGAAAACCAGTTTCATTCCCTGAGATTTACCAGTCACCACCACCAGGTTCTGGTATGAAGAGCTTATTGAGTTTTCCACACAGGTTGAAATGCACCTGCCTATAGAACCACTGAAGGGAGGCTGCCCTCCCACACTCCGGTGGTTCTCCTGGGTCCTCAGTCAAGTCTTATGAGAGATGACTCTTACAAGGGATATACAACATATAAAAGATCAAAGCTCCATGATCAAATGACCCTATGTCCAAGCAACTACACAGGACTTTAAAAATCCCCAGCTAAATTTTCGTAATTGGAAATTCAGACTTAGTGTGGATCAGGATGAATTTGCTTCCTTAGGACTTTTGCCTCAGTTTACTCTGACAATGCTTCCAGAAGTATGATTCATGTCTTGTAAAAATTTGGAATTGGGACTGATCACCAGATCACTACTGTAATCTAAGAATTAATGGTTAGAACTTCACTGTATCTCAAGTTTAATTTCTGTTTATCACTGTCTAACATCACCGCACACTGGAATGTTTACAGTGACAAATACTTTTAAGGTGCCATCTGTCACTGCCCATTATCTTGGGTCAAGTCCGCTAAAAGACAGGTGAGCCTGGCAGGACATGACCCAGGCTCTGCAACAGCAGCTGTGGCTCCAACCTAAGGTCTTCTGCTGTGGCCTCAGGGGTGTAACAAACCCTCAGGTCAGTTCCTGCATCTCCAAAATGACAATAATCAGTGTTCCTTCCTCATGGGTGCTGTCAACTACAGAAGGGCATCATGTGAAGTCAGCTCTCAACAGCGCAGGCACATTTAAGTGATGAATAAATCCAATCAGCTGGCACTTGCTCTGTGCTATCTTATTGTGGGGACCAGCTGATGGGACAACAATTAAAGCAGGCAGTACAGTCTTACATCCAGATTACAACTTTCAAGGCCCTGAGGAGCAAGGTTCCCTGCCGAGGGCTAACAGAGTTCGAAGGACTCGGAAAACACATGTTGTTGAACACCTGCAGTCCCCACACCCACCTTCTCCCCAATCCCAGGTGTAACATACCTGTGCAGAGTGCTGTGCCGGGCTATGGATGGTTACCTGTGTCACCACCCGGGCCCTCTCTGACCACTGCCTGACCAGTGTTCGTGCACAAAGACAGGTTAGCAGACACACGTCATCACCATCCATACCACGCCGCACCACCACCCCCCTACCTCTGTGTAGAACACCTTATGCTCCACCACGTTAAGATCCATTGTGAAGAGCCTGGGCTGCAAGGTGGTACAGAACGTGTTCCCCTCCATCAGGCCGATCTGTGCGTTGGCAGGCTGGTGTCTGAGCAAATGCTTCTTGGGTGGGACCATATCCTGGAGGACCTAGGACAGGCAGAGGACGCACCACTAACCAGCTGTCCCTTGAAAAGCAAACACCTCTCATCACAATGCTCTACACCAATTCCCAATCTGAAAACCATAAGCGATGAAAAGATATTACAGGGCCAGCCGAGTGGCTCAGTTGTTTAAGAGCTCGCTCAAGAGTTTGAGCTCTGAGCAACAGCGGTTCGATTCCCGGCCCAAGCTGAGCAGCCGCTTAGCTGCCAACAGGTGGCAGGATGGCTCAGCTTAAAAAAAAAAAAAAAAAGATATTACAAATGTCTTTTAGTTAGGGGAGGGAGGATAGGTTCCATGTGCTAAAACTGGGCTCTGAATGTCCAACACATTGGATCCCTAAGGCGCCTTGAGTAACCTCTCTTAAAACGAACACACACAAGCTGAAACTAATTCTAAAAAAAATGTGTATTTCATAATAAAAATAATTCAATAAAAAAAAACGAACACACACAAAAGAATGGAACTCCCAGATCGTGCTACACCAACCCAGGAAACCAGCCTTCTACTCTCTTGACACAATTACCGATATACCCATTAACATAAGCACATTGCTTTTTGCATATCTGAGGTCAAAAACCACATGTATAATAGCACTCTGTGAGGTAGACATAAAATTACAAATTATATACCATCTACAACTCAGATTTGAAGGGAAAAAACTCTCAAAAGTTTTGCTCAGATTATCCTAGTTTCGGTGACAGAAATCTCACCTCTTTATGGGGTTCCATTATCACTGTCACACTTTTTCCAGTGACCTGGGCCAATACTTGCAGTGAATGCATAGCCTGTTTTCTCACAGTGGAATTTGGAGAGGTGACTTCTCGAACCAAGTCATGTGTCACGTGGTGAAAAGACTTTTCCTGAGCCGCCACGATCTCTTCCGCTCTCTCCTCATCTTTTAGAGGCGTTGCACACCTCATCAGAAGCTGCTCCAGGGTGGTCTTGGCCATGGCAACTGCCCCGTTAGAAACCTGCAGGCCAGGGACTCCTTAGATCGGAAAGGGGGTGATGCTGCCCACGGCACCCACATCTCCTGCACACACACCTGCCTGCCATAAACACTGTCTCTGGTGGTCCATGCCCCTCCACCAGGTAATTTAACAAGACTATTTCATAACCTCCATAGTCCAGGTACTTCAGTAACTAAATCACCTCCTCATAGGTAATTTCTGTTTGTCATTCAGAAGAGGAAATGTAGACATAATCCTTGTATTTACCAAACAGGTAAGCTGGAAATGGCCACCACAGTCTTTGCCTTAGTTACATCTGCATGTAGGTTCATGAAGAACACAGCTTCTGTAGAACCAACCGTATGAGCCCTATGGCAAGGCTGAGAAGCAGTGCTCCCTTCGCAGATCACAGACGCAATGTTAAGTACTCTGGCCTCTGACTGTTCCTTCAAGGTATCTGGTACCAGAAAAGCCTAGAGATGTTCTGATCTGTCCTATTAAAGATGCTGTAATGAAATCCAAGCTTCTAGGAGAGCGAATGTGCAGAACTATCTCATGCTAACTGTTCTCCAGGGAAATCAGCTTCTTGAAACAGCTTGGTTAGGTTTGGGGACACCCATCACCTACCTCTCCAGTTAAGTCCATCATGACAAAGAGGAGCGCTTTGAGGAATGTCTGCTGGTTCTGGAGAACCCACGTGAGAGGCAGCCGCTCCATGAGAAACTTAATGGACACCACACCCCCAAGCTTAGCATACCAGGCCTGTTCATAACAACATGCGCACAAGCGTTCCACAATATAAGAAAACAGAGGCAGCTGGCACGCCTGGAGGGAAAAACACACACAAAAATCATACTGTGTGACTGCGAGCCTTAAACTACCAGTTTCTAGAATGACTATTAGGCCCAAGCACCCCCAAACTAAGAGGCACTCTCAATCCTTCCTTACCCTCTCCTTTGAGCCCAGGATGATACTTGCAACATCAAATATCACAGCGAGGGCCACCTCCCCAATCTTGCAAAGCTCCTTTTCTTCATATGCCATACAAATAGCTATCGCGTCAATAAGAACCAAGGGATCCATTCCTTTTGATCCATTTTCTTCACTGTGAAACATGGCTGTGCTGGGCTGGCTGCCCACCTGGTAGCAAGGCAGCAGGAAGGGACCTGAAAGTGAGCAGAGAGAGTGTGAGAGGGGAGAGCATGCACAACAGCATCCTCGTCCCTCAAGCTGCAAAACTACCTCAGTCTTTCCTTTGAGGTTAGGAACTCAATAAAAGCCAGTGCTGCTACTTTTTACACCAACTTGTGTTAAACAGCAACTATTTTAAGTGGTCTCACTCGCCCAAAGGCTACTTTTCCATTATATACTGTATTATTTCCAGATTTTCTCAATCATGACTCAAAAATGTATTGGTTTAAAACGAGAACCACAATCTGGTTATCTTCTTTTTGAAAAAATCATTAAATAGGCCAAAGGGCAGAGCACTGGAAAGACTAGGGGTTACCCGCTGGGCATTCTGACATACAACTAACAATAAAAAACAACAACATCCAACCATGACACCCAACACACACAGAGAACAATCTGCCAGCAATTGGTAATCAGTGCCTCGCAGGTACCCAGCAGCAGCATGATGAGAGTTACCGAGATGCTTACAGATCTACTGGGAAGTTACACACAGAGGAAACACTGCAACACAATCTCAGCATCAAACTGGACAGCACTAACTGTTCTGGCCAAGAACAGTTAAAGGGGAAAGTTCTACATGTTCCGCAGGGTTCAGAGGATGCTGCTCATCGATCTTGGGCGAGGGGCTTTGAGGGCACAACTGGAGCCATGCTACGCAAGCCTGCCCACTGACCAGTGCTGGTCTGGCAGGGGTTGCCAACATTTGAAGTAAGTGTTCAGAAACTCGTCCAGCACTAGGCAGTGCCATGACATTCTTACAGCCTTTTACATGAGCACCAGTCTGCAGGGGATCAGAAATAAAACCAGAGACAAACAAAACTGGTCCTTCACCACCCCAGACCCTGAAAGCCCCTGCAGCAGAGGCAAGCGGCCCCTCGAGGCGGAGAAGCGGCATGGGCGACCATCCCAGGAGGAGAGATGAGCACTTCCAGGGAGACTTCGAGGAGCTGGCTGAAGAGCAAAGAGCAGGTGACAGAGCAGAGAGGTGACATTGGAAAACAACACCATGGAAGATCGTCAACAAGTGTGACTACAAACTCTGTTTTACACCCAGAGCATCCAAGAGTATTCAAGCCCCCATTTTTCATGAAAAACAAAGGGGCAAGATATTGAGTATATTTCACAGATAACACTGGGTTACAATTTTCACAATACAGCAAGCACCCATCACTGAAATACCAATTATCTCTTCCAATGGAATTGAGTGGACAGTTAACAAAAGCTCAAAACCCAATCACCCAAACTCAGCCTCTCTGAAACCCCACAATGCCCCAACCAAGTTTTGGAAGCGCCCTAAAGCACTCAAACCACCGCTTCCCCTGCCCTGCTCACCACACTGCTGGGCCACGGCCACCATTGTGTAGTGGCGAATCAAGCTGGCTACGAAGGGCAGGGCACTGGGCCGGAGGTCCTTAATGACAGCAGACATGAACGCCCCGGTCAGAGCCTGCTCAAACGTCTTCCGAGCTGGAGTGTCCTGTGCTTTGTAGCGATGTGATATGATGACATTAGGTATGGTCTTTTCTGTAAAGCTGAAAGACAAAATTAAATCCATCACCACAACACCGAAGTCTTCGACTGACGATTCCACCATGACTTTGTTATTTTCAACCTGCCCGCCTTCCTCCTGCTCAGATGGGCCTGAGTGAGTTAATTTCTCTGCTTTAATTTTAGCAGCACTTGGAATCAAACACGATGAATTTCATTATGAATATTTATAACCAGTGGTTCAAGAGACACCAAATATGTTCTACCTGATATTATAACAGGCACTGGAGGCCGGCTGAGTGGCACATTGGTTAAGAACTGGCTTGGGATGCCAGAGGGCCCCAGTTCGGATCACACATATGAGGGCTAGTGACACTGCCATCTACAGCTAAGATGCTGAACAACAGCTCAACCTGGAGCTGGGCTGCCGTGGGTCACCGGCGATGGCGTAGGCTGCAGGCCCTGCTGCAGTGGGTTGCCATAAGCTACCGTGTCTAGCTGGCAGCCAGCGTGAGCGGCCAGCAGCCGCTGTGAGCGGCTGTCCAGAAGCCGGTGACTGATCTGCCTCACCCAGGAAGAGCGCAATGATGGTGCCAACTTGGGCCAATGAAGCAACATCCTCCACAACTAGACTGAAGAACAAAACAACAGCAACTTGTCTGTTCCCCTTCCCCCGATTCCCCAATAAAATCTTTAAAAAAAAGAACAGGCACTAAATCAGAGGTAAATGACAAAATGGTGGCAGATTCAACACCCTAGTGAGCGGCACCTTTGACTTAAAGCCAAGAAAACCCGCAGTCAGCCAGATTAAGTTAGACTCTTTCATCCACTTCCTGTAATACAGCACAATCCTAAATCTTCATGGAGTCCCCTGAGGTCCTATCAGCCCTGCCCCATCCACCTCTCCCTCTTACCCAGTGAGGCCCAGCATCACTGATCACCTGCTGTGCCCATCAGGGGGCCACTGCCCTTACATTCCCTGAGCTTCCTCAGGATGTTTTCACAATTTTTCCTACTACTGAGAGGACTTGTCTGACCACCCTATTTTTTTAAACTGCCCTTTTCACGCCCTATCCCCCTAGCCTGATACACTTAATAACACTTATCGCTACCTCAAATATACTTTTCTTTCTTCCTGCCTGTTGTCCTGTCTCCCACTAGAATGTAAGTTCCTTGAAGGCTAGGATGCAGTCCTGTACACAAACCTTGAACAGAACCTGGTACCCAAAGGTACTCCATCTATAGCAGCAGCAAAAAGGCAGAGATGGAGAAGGGATGGTCTTTATAATAAATGGATACTAGATATCCACAGGGCAAAGAATAAAAGTAGACCACTACTTCACACCATTCACAAAAATCAATTCTAAAGAGGTTAAAGATCAAAATGTGGACAGATGATACAACTTTTAGAAAACAATACAAGAGTATTTTCATGACTAGGATGTAGCAGGAAATGATTTCTTACATAATATAAAAATCACTATGCAAACAGAAAAATATACCAATTTGACCACAATTAAATCATGAACTTTTATCTATCAAAAAACTTGACTGAAAAATCTAGGAACAATGACACCCCAGTAGCAATGAGCACATCCAGCATAGAAACCTTGGCTTTTATTCATTTCTTCAAGAAGCCCTCTTCCCTTTCATAGAGAATAGGGGTTCCAAGGCTAGGGAGGTGGAGAGAAGGCACAAGGTGAGCCGGAAACATCTTGTTGCGCCTGGAGGAGCTCTCACTGACTAAATTTGGCTATCAAAATAAATAATGGATTTTTATCCATTAAACAAGAACCCATGAGCATGTACGGATATAAACAAATATTAACAAAGAAGGAAAAGCTATTCCTTACTTTACAAAAAAAAGGGGAACTGGAGATAGAAAACCAGCATTTTATATCCTACCATAGAATACTATTCAGCAATAAAAAGGAGCAAGCTACTGACGAATTGTACATCATGGATGAGTCTCAAAAGCATAGTGCCAGGTGAGAGGAGCCAGACACAAGTGACCACCCACTGTGTGGTTCCATCTATGTAAAATATGAAATGTCCAGAAAAGGCACATTTACAGAGATAGGAAGCAGATCAACGGTTGCCTGGGGCCATGAAAGGGGATTAACCATAAGTGGGCACTGAGGGATGTTACTGAGGGGATGAAAATGTTCTAAATCTGATTTATATTTGCAACACTCTCTAGGTTACTAAAAATCATTAAATTGTACACGTGAAGCAGATGAATTTGGGATAAAATATACCTCAATAAACTAGTTAAAAAGAAAGAAAGCCACCATTTTGTAATCGGCATACCAATACTTGAATCAGGGAACACTCATCAATAATGCTATAACCAGTAGATAACAACTTTGATGAGAAATAGGATGTTTACGCTGTCTCAAACTATCTCCCCACCAATTACTTAATGAACTACAAGTTGTAACTTAAGAACCTGACAATAGAGACAGGGCCGACGACACTCACCAATGGGACAAGTCAACATCAAGACAGTCCCTGATGTGACTTCTGGTGGCGTTTTCACTAGGCATGCACAGTGTGAACCTAATGATGCACAGACAAACCCACACTAGGAATAGTCTACAAAGTAACTAGACTGTATTTTCCAAATATGTCAATGTCATAAAGATCAAGAAAGGTCAAATAACTACCCTAGTTTCTAAGAATTTATCTATTTTATTGCAATCGAAAAATTCATTGGGGGAAAACAGTTGCTCATAACTGCTTTTTTAATGTCAAGAAAATCTGGAGTGCGAACGCCTTTTTATTTCTGACATTCATTATTTGTGCCTTCTCTTCTTCACTCTAAGAAAGTAAAGAAACTTTACTCTCTTCTTTACCCTTGCAAGAGGCTTTTCCATTTTATTACTTTCAAAGAATCAACTTGGATTTACTGAACCATTCTACTATATATTTTCCTCTTTTGCTCATTTCTTCTCATCTTTCTTTTTGTTTATTTTGTTGTATTTTTCTCATTTTTGAAACAAGTATTTAGCTCAATCTTTGACATTTGTTCCTTTCTATTATGATTTTTAACAACTTTATTGAGATATAATTTATATGCCATAGAATTTGTTCATCTTAATTACTGGGTTGTCGGAAAAGTCATGACGCATTTTTGCAACGAAAAACATAGAAAAAAATACACCATGACTTTTTCGACAACCTGTTCAATGAGTTTCAGTTAAATTTATACAGTTATGCAACAACACCACAACCCAATTTTAAAACATGTCACCCCAAAAAGTCAATCCCCACTCCCACTCTCAGGGCAACCACTGATCACAGCCTTAAATTATAAGAAGAAAATGTAAATATCACGTGACAAATATTTGGAGAAAGAAAATATAGACTGAAAAAGCAAAAGATCAACCGAATGCATATCATGACAGGAGCTGTGGATATAATGGTGAGCATAGGGGAGAGAAAAGGTCATGACCCTTCGTTCTTGAAACTCCTAACCTAACAAAAAGGCAATCATAAAGGAGGATAACTTCTAATTCTAAAGCACCCAAGTTCTCTGTTTCATTTCCTCTAAAAGTCAAGAGAAGCGTTACTAGGCAAATAACATGTCATTTTCCTGCTCATAACGTTAAGAAATCTGGGAGATCCTCTCCATCGCGAATTCCTGAAACAAGATACATCCAACGGCAGAGAACTGCATTAGCGACATACTTAGGGTGTGCAAGGAGCTGGTAGAGAGCGTGTTTATTGTCTTCTAGACTCATCATTGCCACCAGGAAGCACTTGATCACTTCCCACGCCTGCCTCCGGTAGTAAGGCTCAGTGTTGGCACTTTTCAAGCAGTCCAGAGCTGTTTCGATGGCCTACAACAAAGAAACACAAACACTATAGTTTGTACTGAATTACATAATTTTGAAAAGCTTACACTGAGAACATCTGCAGCACCCAAAAAGAATCTTAATACATATTTTTTCTTTACACGAGCACAGTGGACCTACACAGGCTCACACGTGAAACCCCCAGAGAAGGCAGTGGAAATATAAAATAAGGAACGGCATGATTTGAATTAAAATGTAAAATGGAGTTTACTAATTTTGTGCTTAAATAGCCAATGTGAGATTCCAGAAATTAAGTGAGCTCAGAAGGCCCGTTGTTATAGATTTGCTGGATTAAACTAGATACTGAGTCATCTACACACTTATCAAGGTCCTCATGAGAATAATGAACTTTCAGCAGACCACAGACTTTCCTGTGTCTATGTTCAAAACTTTAAAGATGGCTGTCTTAAGTTTTCAATAAATTCACTCTTCAAAAGAGAAGAGGGTTTACATCATTTTTTCAGAAAACCTACGGAGCTACACGTACATTTTATGTTGACCAGGAAGATGGGGAGGCATGGTCACACAAAAAAATAATTTGAAGCCTTTAACAGCTAAGATATTAACCTTAATGATAATTACGTACATACTGTACATCAAAGAACTAATCTGTGGGCTGGCTGAGTGGTGCGTTGGTTAGGGGTTGGCTTGGGACGCCAGCTCTGAGCAGCAGGGCCCTGGTTCAGATCCCACATGAGGGCCAGTGATGCTGCACCATCTACAGCTAAGATGGTGAACAACAGCTCGACCTGGAGATGGGCAGCCTGCCTTGAGTTGCCGGCGACGGCGTAGGATGCAGTGGGGCTGGCCAACAGCAGAAGTGAGCTTTCGTGAGCTGCTGTGAGCCACCATGAAAGGCCATCCAATGGCCAGCGAGTGACTGCCTCACCTGGGAAGAACGCAATGATAATACCAACATGGGCCAGTGAAGCGACATCCTCCACAACTAGACTGAAGAACAAAAGGACAGCAATTTGTCTGTTCCCCTCCACCAATTCCCCAATTAAAAAAAACAAAAAAAAAAACTAATCTGTGTCAAACATTAAAGATTTATCCAGGTTCTGTGTGAGGATCCAGGTGGAGCCGACAGGGACAGAGGCGCTGCCCTCTGGACCCAGCCAGGAGTCACAGCACACACAGCCAGTGGAGTGTGACATGGCTCCTCACCACATGCCCAGCTGCGTGTCTGAGTTCTTCTGGAACATTACAGAAGTGTCGCTCCTCCTGCTGCCTCTGATCTGGTCAGCAATAGGTAATAAATTTTGTGGGGATAATGTTAGAAATTTTACTTTTAAGAATGGATTAATCTATGAGTCAATTACCTGCCGAAAAGAATAAAGGACTGTAAAGTATGCCAAAAGCAGAACTGTTCTAATGGAAATTCACTGGCACTTGGCTTGGCCACGCTGTTCATTCCCGTAGCCTAGTCGACTCCTCTGGCTCTGTGGGGTGTGCTGTGGCCCTGAGGAGGCCCCTGCTGGGAAAGGAGCTCCACCAGCACCGTGAAGTCTCTGCAAGGGTCCGGGGGACTATGGAAGCCTATCTTCGAAACTAAGTTTCTCCCATGCTTTAGCTACTTCTGGGGAAAACAACTTCTAAAAGGATTTTCTTGCTTTGCTTAGTCTATGCAGAAGTCAAATAAGAGTCAGATGCCTTAGTTTTTACTACTAATACCAACCTTGCTACTGACAGAGCTAAACCAAACAGAATCCTAACTTAAGGAAATTACCTAAAATTTGAGAACATGCTCTAGACACAGGATGTTCACTACAGTAGTTTGCAATGTAAAGATAGAGAGAATTTTAGTTCTCAGTATTCTCTTAGGAGGTAAATAGGGTTTATTTGACAAATATTTTGATAAAGGTTTGGGTGAGAAGCTGGGATTCCACCCCACCCCTGAGGTTTGGAGAAGGCAACACCGATCTATTGGGGGGCACTGGAGGAGGGTTGGGGACAGTGGCATGTGCTTGATGAAGGGGGTGGTGGGGGAGAACAGGTGGACTGAGAGATGATGACGGCAAACAATTCCTGAGTAACATTTACCCATGATGGGTATCTTTCCTCCCAACTGTTTGGTCAAGTCTCATTTAAAAAAATAAAAATCACAGAATTAAAAGGATCATACATCACAATCAAGTGGGCTATATTCCAGGGATGCAAGGACGGTTCCGCACGCGCAAATCAATCAATGTGAAACACAAAATTAACAAAAGATAAAAATCATGATCTTATCAGCAGATGCAGAAAACGCATCTGACAAGATGCAAAAAAGGCATCTGACAAGATACAACATTCATTTATGACAAAAACATTCAAAAATGGGTATAAAAGGAAAGTACCTCAACATAATAAAGGCCATATATCACAAACCCTCAGCTACCATCATACTCAACGGTAAAAAAGTGAAAACTTTTCATCTAAGATCACAAACAAGACAAAGATGACCACTCTCACCACTGTTAACCAACATAAGTATTGGAAATCCTAGACAGAGCAATCAGGCAAGAGAAAGAAATAAAAGGCATCCAGATTGGGATTAAAGAAGTAACACTGTCATTATCTGTATATCACATGAATTACACACACACACACACACACACACACATATATCATATATATATGTATGTATGTGTGTGTGTATATATAAATAGATATAGATATAGATATAAATTCTAAAGATGCCACAAAAAAACTATTAGAGAAAGTTAAAGCTGCACAATATAAAATCAATATACAAAAACCTGTTGCATTCCTATATCCTAACAACAAAATATAAGAGAAATGAAGAAAATAATCCCATTTACAATAACAAAAAAAGAGTAAAATATCTAGGAATAAACTTAAAGAACATGAAGGACTTGTACAACAAAAACTGTAAGATATTGTTGAAAGAAACTGAAGAAACCAAAGAAAGATACTCCGTGTTTATGGATTAGAACAATTAACATTGTTAAAATGGCCATGTTACCCAAAGCAATACACAGACTTAATGCAATCCTTATCAAAATCCCAATGGCATTTTTCACAGAAATAGAACCAAAAAAATCCTCAAATTTGTATGGAACCACAGAAGACCCAGAATAGCCAAAGCAATCCTGAGAAAAAAAGAACAAAGCCAGAAGTATCATACTTCATGTCTTCAAACTATACTACAAAGCTACAGTAATCTAAACACTACAGAACTGGCAGAAAACACACACACAGAGATCAATGGAACAGAACTAAGAACCCAGAAATAAGCCCACACATATTTTCAACAAAAGAGCCAAAAACATACAATGAAGAAAGGAAAGTCTCTTCAACAAATGGTGTTGGGAAACCTGGAAAGCCACATGCAAAATAATGAAACTAGACTGCTATCTGAGACTACACCTAAAAATTAACTCAAAAATGGATTAAAGACTTGAATATAAAACCTGAAACAATAAAATACATAAAGAAAATATAGGCACTAAACCTTGGTCTTAGAGATGTTTTTGTGAACTTGACCCCAAAGGCAAGGGAAGTAAGAGCAAAAATAAATGAATGGGACTACATCAAACTAAAAAGCTTTTGCAGAGCAAAAGAAACTATCAACAAAACAAAGAGGCAACCAACCAAATGGGAGAAGATATTTGCAAACAACATCTTCAATAATGGGTTAATATCCAAAATATATAAAGAACTCCTACAACTCAACAACAACAAAAAACCAAACGATCCAATTTAAAAATGGTCTGAGGGGCCGGCCGAGTGGCTCAGTTGGTTAAGAGCTCGCTCAAGAGTTTGAGCTCTGAGCAACAGTGGTTCGAGTCCAGCCCGAGCTGAGCAGCCGCTGAGCTGCCAACAGGTAGCAGGATGGCTCAGCTAAAAAAAAAAAAAAAAAAAGGTCTGAGGAACTGAAAGGGACGCTTCTCCCAAGAAGATACATGAAAGATACACGGCCAAGAGATACATGACAAAATGCTCAACATTATTAGCTATAAGGTTAGTGAAAATCGAAACCACCATGAGATGCCACCTCACACCCATTAGAATGACTATTACTAATAAGAAATAACAAGTGTGGGTCGGCCGAGTGGCTCAGTTAGTTAAGAGCGCAAGCTCTAAGCAACATGGTCACCGGTTTGATTTTCACATGGGCCAGTGAGCTATGCACAAGCTGAGATGCTGCTGAGCTGCCAACAGGTGGCAGGATGGCTCAGCTGGTGAGAGCACGTGCTCCTAACAACAAGGTTGCCGGTTCCACTCCCGCATGGGATGGTGCACTACACCCACCCACAACAAAGACTGAACATGGCACCTTGTGAGCTGAGCTGCCCTGAGCTGCCGAAAGGCAGCTGGATGGCGACTGGACTTAGAACTGAGCTAGCTGCACCCTCCACAACTAAGATTGAAGGACAACAACTTTGCTGTTCCCCTTCCCCAATTCCCCAACACTGTTCCCCTATCCCCAATTCCCCAATAAAATATTAAAAAAAAAAAAAAAAAAGAAAAGAAATAACAAGTGTTGGCTAGTTGGAGAGGATGTGGAGAAAAAGGAACCCTCATACACTGCTGGTGGGAATGTAAATTGGTACAGCCACTATGGAAATCATATGGTGACTCCTCAAAAAAATTAATATAGCTACCATACGACCCAGCAATCCCTCTTCTGGGTATCTGCTCAAAAAATTTGAAAACACTTATTCGTAAAGATGTATGTACTCCTACATTCACTGCAGCATTACTCACAATAGCTAAGACATGGAAACAACCTAAGAGGGCCCTTCAATGGATGATTGGATAAAGATGATGTTCCTGTATACAATGGAATACTACTCAGACATAAAAAAAAGATGAAATATTGCCACTTGCAACAACATGGATGGATCTTGAGAGTTTATGCTAAGTGAAATAAGTTGGACAGAAAAGGACAAGGACCATGAGATTTGACTTACATGGGATATAAATCAGAAAGCAGCAAACGAACAAAACAAAACAAAACAAAACAAATTCATAGATACAGACAAGAGAATGGTGGTTACCAGAGGGGAAGAGGGCGGGGTGACGAAGAAGAGGCTAAAGGAGGTCAAATATATGGTGATGGGAGGAGACTAGACTTTGCGTGGTGAGCACACATTACAGTATCCAGATGTCATATTATAAAGTTGTATACCTAAAATTTATATAATGTTATTAATCAATGTTATCCCAATAAATTTAACAACAACAAAAAAAACCCACAGAACTCTTTATGTGGGTAAATTTCTTATACAGAAAGGTAAACATGCCAAGTTCTACAATATGAGGCAACAGAACAGAGAGAGTTAGCCTTGAGCAAAGGGAGGGCTTTGAGTCGTTCTAGCATAGAATGCTGGTGTAAGAGCAGATCTGCAAGGAGCTCAGGAATCCCAGCTGACACTGACTTACTGAAATGGCCAAGTCACTCAATCCACACAAAAGTCTACTCTTAATACCCTTTACAAAATAGTCTACTCTAATACCCTTTACAAAATACCCAATATACAATGGTTACATAAATGTCATGAAAAGACATGGTAACAAAGGCTGGGGGAGGCGGGGGGGGGGGGGGGGGGGGCTGGTTATACAATAAGAAGGAAAAGTCGAATGTAACAATGTAGATTACAATTAAATTGAACGATGACACGTGTGACAAAGGACTAGGAGGGGTCAATAAGGTAAAGGGAGAATAGTTTTCTATAAGGCTACAACCAAAGTAGTTGAGCGGAATATCTGCAAGATGTTAAGAACACTATTTGGGTTTTGGGGGTTTTTTTCCATTTTTTTATTTTTCAATGACAGTTGACATTCAATATTATATTACTTTCTGGAGTTTGTTCATTTTTAACACAATTTAAAAGGGTTCTAAAGGGCATGTAGAGAGAAACCAAAGAGCTGCCCGTAGCTGGCTAAGAAGCCAAGAAACACAGCAGGAGCTGTCTGGATAGACAAGAGAACAGGAGAAGCTCGGTACTACACAGTAACGTGGATGAGGCAAGACTGGAATTAACGTGGGTTCTAAAATGACACATGAAGTAAAGCTGATTTGGCATCAAAACAGACTAAGTCCCAGGGCCAGAAGGGCAGGGCAACACCTAACCATCACCAACCAAGTTGACCCTAAATAAATCTCTTTCTTCTTTGAGTTATTGGGTTGTCGGAAAAGTCATGACGCATTTTTGCAACAAAAAACAGAAAAAATACGTCATGACTTTTCCGACAACCCAACAGAAATTCCCTCCCCTAAAAGTACATGTTTTATTCACATATTTTCACATAAAAATTAACTTTCTTAAAATGAAAGCATCTTTAAGAAGTATCTAGAGACTTCCAAACTTACCTTCTCCATGGGGAGCTGAAGAGACGCTTTGCAATCGGAAAACTCCACTGTGATACTGGGGCCTTGAACTTCAGTCACAACATAGTGCAGCTTCTGGGATTCCTTTAACATCTTCCTGTTACTGCCACCAAATTTACCAAGTACCCGATAGGCCACATGAGAAATGCTATCAGCAGGATTGCGTAAAGTGCGCCATAAAGCCTAAAAATCAACATGCTTCCATTAAAATCCTTCCAAGGCAATGCATTCACATGGTTCACAAATCAAAATTCAAAAGTTATAAAAGACTATACAGTGAAAATTCTTCTGTCCATTGTTGTCCCCCAAACACACAAGTTCCCCTTCTTAGGGGAAACTGATGTTATTAGTCTTTGTATCCTTCCAGAGAAAGTTTGTATGTCTTTATAAAACTACATTTTTAATACAAATGTTCTTCCATGCTCCTAAAATACAAATGGTAGCATACTGTAAATACTGCAGAGCTCAAAAGGGAGAAAACCAAGCAATATTTTGTTTAAGCACTTTTACAAAATGGAATTGGGACGAGCACAAAGGGAAACGCAATTTACTGGCAAGGTTCTCATACTGGGATTAGATGATGAGTTCTCAGGTTTTTACCTTTATTATTAGGCTTTATAACTTACAAACATGATATATAAATTATCTCGTACATTCCAAATCTCACATTAGAAAGGATGGCAAAGAGGGAAAATGGGGAGACCTGCATTATGGGAATAAGTAAGTTAATGTGTGCCTTGTACTTACAGTTAGTAAAAAAGCCACATGCACTCAACTGTTCCAAAAACCATCAATTTTCCCACATTTTCCCAACTAAATTACCATGTCTTGAAAATTACTGTAGCTCATTATTTAAGTCTATTTTTTTAAATCACCTTCTATAACAATGCCCAATATTAATTTCCAGCAATAGCCAAAATCTTGGTACTTTTCTCTAAAGCAAAATTCCAATTTCTCCTACGTTTCTGTAAGTCCAAAGAGGCTTGTCCTAAAGACTGCTGGGAGGTCTTGTCCAAGTCTCCCCTCCACCCATGCACTGGCCACGCAATCCTCAGAAGGGACTTCTGCTCAGCTGCCCAGGAGGGAGCACTACGGGGAATGAGTGCTTCTGCTCTCCCAGTGCACACACATGGATGCAGCTGGTTGATGGGGCTGGAGAGAGATGGCTTGTGACACTTGTCTAGTGGGTGGGTTACTACACCCCCAAAAGCAAGCAGCAGCCTGGACCCCGTCTCTCCCTGGGCTGTCTGCCTCACGGAATGGCAGGCGGCCCAAGAAACCATCCCTGCCTCCGCCTCCCACACGGTGCTCACCCACACCTGGGTCAGGTCTTCCAAGTTGCCATCTCCACTCTACTCTGTACAGAGACTCCTGTCCTTTAGGAGTTACTGAGTCTCCTTCACAGAAAGCTGGCATTCTGGCCCCCACTTGAGGTCAAATACTCTATGCTAAAGGAACAGGTGAGTAAATAAAAGGCATCCTAAACCTCTAACAGTTACCAAGCACATTACAAATCAATAACAGCAGCAAAACATGAAGGAAAAACCTGATAATTGACATATGAACTCTAATGGACAAAAAATATAAAATGTTTTCGGACATCCATACCTTCCCTTAGGAATCTGTATCTCTTTACTGTGTAACTCAAGATCCATTGTGGATAAAGAAAAGATGACCCTGGAAGCAACAGCGGCCACAACACCTGCCTTTGTAAGTCATCAATGTCATGAAAACATGTGAAAGCCCTCCCAAAAAGGGGGCAATACTGCAAAACAAACCACTCAATACTTAAGAGTACTCCTTTACATGAAGTACTAGGGCAGAAACCTTCCTATCCTAAAAGCCATCCTGTCTTGCTTTGTACCTTAAACCTGCTGACTTGTGTTTGTCTTAGGCTGGAGAAGCCACCTGGAATGTATTGTAGAAACCACCTTATCCTAAAAGCCATCTTGTCTTGCTTTGTACTTTGTACCTGCCGGCTTGTGTTTGTCTCCTAGGGGCTTATCATCAGAGGACCTGGGCGGTCCAGACCGCAGCCTGGGGGCCAGGATGTGGAACCTGGAGGGCTTGGTCATGCACCGAAATTTGAGAGACAATGCAAGGAAGAAGCCCCTGAAGTACTACTGAAAGGGGAACAGCCTGGTGTACCTTCCCCTATAAAACTCCATACCCCTTTTTGCTCGGGGAGGTTATGGTCTTTTCTAGCCTGACCTCCGCAGCTCAAACATGCCAAATAAATTCTAATAGACCAATTTTGGTCTCCCGCAACTGTTTTCTCCGGCCGTGCCTAACAGTTTTCATAAGTCAGAAAATGCACAGAGTAAGGTAAAAGCTACACCATTCATCCAGCAGAGGGCTCACCAATGAGCATGGAGTGCTTGTCACTTCTGGAAACCACTAGCCTAAAATCCTCAGTAAAAACTAGACATGGGAGCACCTAATGCCCTCTTGGTGGCGCTTATGAGAATCAGACTTACCTGCATGAGCTCTGCGCGCACCGGCTGAATGTGGTCGTAGAGGAAATCGGGCTGCAGGTTGTCCACACACAACTCCAGAGTCCTCAGGCCTTGGCTGACCAACGTCTGAGAGCCATTGAGGGCAGACACCAGGGGATCCATTAACATGGGCAGATAGGGCAAGAGAGAACTCAGCCGCACTGGCACTGTGAGACACAGCTCGACGAAAAGGTCCTTCATATGCTGCTTGTGCAGGCCGCTCTGCAACATGTTCAGCCCTAACAGGGTGTGAGGCAGCAGAGAGGGACGTTACCTCCCAGACACAGGCCAAAGTGAACAGTACAATATACTGGTAAACCTTTTATTATAGACATCAACGTAGTAACAGGAAGACTTTCTGTGCCTTGTAACCCTGCATTAGCTGAATCTATTCTATAACTGCATCCACAATTCCTCATCTGCCATATTCATAGTGACAACAGCAGGCTACACCTAATTATTATAAATTAAGTTATAATATTATATCCTTATAATAAAAATAGTATACATCAATCTTTTAAAAATCATGTTATACTATTAATAAGCCCCATCTAAAGACACTGACTTCTGATAGATGTGTTCCTCTCAAGTTTAAGGCTTACAACTGTACGTCTTTTTTCATGCTTCCTGTAGACCAGTTGATGTCTATGCTCTAAAATAAACACTTTTCTAAAAATCCACTTCTGTTGTTTATAAATAGAGAGCAGCCTCCTTCTTATCAAGTCAACCTCAACTCTTCATGAGGGGACGGGTATTTATTGAGTTCCTTCCTAACCAAGACGAGTCAGATCAGGCCTCACTCACAGAGCTCACAGACGAGCCAAAAAGAGCAAGTCAAGTGACAGCAGACCCAACGCAAGATGTATCCCAGGCAGTGCAGGATGAAGCGAGCTCAGAAAAGAGCTGTCATCAGGGAAGGCACCGCACAGCAGGAGGAGGGTGTGGAGAGGGAACAGCTAAGTGACCAGAGGGGACCCGCTTGAACAAAACTAGGCGGGAGAGATGAGCTTGGGGACAGCAGAGAACATACAGGAGGAAATCAGGCTGATTGGAACAGAGGGCTCAAGCTGAGGAATGACTGGAGATGGGGTGAAACACGGGCAATGGAGCCTAATTATGGGCCACCTGAAGCACCTTGCCTGGTGGACTCATGACCATGTTACATTTAATACATTCAATTATTTCCCAGTTGCCACCTGGGTATACTATGTCGTAAATGGTTTCTCTTTAAAAATTTTGCAAAGAAAATACAGGAGAAGATTCAATCCCTTGCCAAGATGCCAAGAGCTCACCCTTACCCAAACAAACAAAAAAACTCCTAGAACAGTGTTTCTAATCAGTTCACACCCATAACCTTCCAATGGACTAAAGATCTGTTATCTTGAAAGCACTGCTAATTATGCAGGAATTACAGGATTCTCATTGTGTAAATTAGCAACTGAACAAAAACAAAAACTTGTAAATCAGCTTTATAACGTGCATCTTCCCTGCTGGTTCTAATTCTTTCAAATCTAGGGATTCCTGATCTTACAAAACTACTCAAAACAACTTTATTTCTAGACTTGCTTACCAAATGCTATAAAAATGCAGCCAAGTCCTAACTGGTGTAACTAAAACCTTCTGACTCCCATTCAATCTGAGTAGGGAGGCAGAGCCCAGCCCTGAGCAGGGACCTTCCTTCAAAGTCCTACTGCCTTTAAAGACAGTGGGACATGAGGACGGGGGTGGGCACCTCTCCCTCTGTCTCTGTGGAGGGACATGCATATATATCCCCTCACCATGACCTTCACTGGGCGCAGAGTATGAACCCCAACAATCAAGTGTAGTCAGACCCAGGCACGCACACAAGGCCTTTTAAGGCAGCCAAAATCAGTGCTCTGACCTTGCAGGAGGTTTGGAAGCAGAGGCAAAAATTCCTGATACAGGAGATCATGGCTCCCTCCCCCAATGGAGCGGAACAGGGCCCGAAGCAGCAGGAAGTAGTTGTAGGGCTCTTTGGCAGTCTGTGCGAGTTCCATTGAGCTGTTCACAATCTTGTGCAGGTGGGGCTGCAAGGGGGAAGAAAAAGCAGGTTAACAGGCGCTAGTGAGGGTCCACACCCCGAGAGCCTCGCTAAATGTTCACTGCAGCCAGGCAGGAAAGGAAGGTAACTGATAGATTTATTCCAAAAGGAAAAACACAGTAAGAACTTTCCAACTCTTATCTAAGTCCAATTAATTCCTCTTAACATGTGGTTGGTTTCCACCAGTTTGGCTGTGATGGAAGCATTTAATAGATTCCAATATTACTATGTGGTTACATATGTTGAAAAGATGGCACTTTAAAGCAGATACTAGAAGGCCTCTCAGCTCTGCAGTTCTTGTGAATATGTACGGTCACTCCTTTATAAGACTAAATAATCAAATAAGATGAAAGAAGCCTGTTTCCTAATTTAAATGCAAAAGGTAACCTCAGGGATTAAACTTCACTATCAATCAAATATGATATATGCAATGCAAAATTTAAGATTATAAGGTTTTGAAAGAGCTGATTGAAAAATGGGTATTTCTTTAATAAAAAAGCACTTTCTTAGCTTATAATAACTTTAATTAACATTTAAACCAGATTAGCTTTTTATCTTGTACTTCAAATCCTGGTTCTCTGACATGTGACAGGTTTAAGTTTAATATGACTTTTTTTTGCAGGTGTATTTAAACTGTTGGTATAGTCACTGATACAGTTTCAAACCTGTTATTGTATATGGCATGATGTATTTATGTTACAGAATAAATCAACTATATACATTTGCTCTTGACAAAAAGTCCTATGAATTTCTTCTTTGAGTCTTTTTCTTGAACATCTTACCATTAAGTTTTTGTTGCTGTTGTTGTTCTTTATAGAGATGTATCTAATGTTGGCACAAATTATTTGAAGACACCAAGTTATGTGGACACAGATTACAATTAAATACGTTTTATTTTTAACAAATCGAGTATTTTCCTTTCATATTAACAACATAAGTAATGTTAGATTTAATAACTGATCACTATATAACTGAAAAAAACTGAGGAAACCACCACTTAAAAGCACAGACTGCAATTATTTTTATCACCATTTGCACTTTTACTCTAGAAAAAAAAAAAAGGATCTTGGGATCTTGTTTACATCTTCAAAATTTCCCCTATGTGAAACATCTCTATTCAAACTCAACTGGTGATAATATTTAACTTTCTATAGGAATTAAATATTTGCCACAAGTGGAAGTGAATGCTTCTAAGGTTTTTGTTCTGCCATCTGCGGCTTTTAATGAGTGATGTAACTGTGAGTAGGTTTTTAGCCAATTTCTAGAATCAAGTAACTGATGAGATCAAATTATATAGGATTAGTCATCTATAAAAACATTGGAGACACATTTCTTCAAGATGATCTTAATTAAGGAACACATAGTAGTTAGATGCTTGATTTAAATGGGGAAAAAATAAATAATAGTCCTGAAATGGAATGTATATGTATTGTCACAGAGAATAAGAACACACAGAAGAAACAAAGTTGAAGTGGAAAATGGCTGACGTATCTCACTGGATTTGAGAGGTAACTGAAGACATTTTTTTTCCTTTTATATAGTCTTTTGTATCACTCAATTTTTAAAATAAGGACGATGTGTCCCTAATTTTACTGTTAACCCCAAAAAAGAAATTGAATTTTAATGAAGAAAATTAGTGGTGGGAATACTAATAACAACCCACTGCCTACCATAAGAGTTCTGAAGTTTTCATTTTAAATCACCAAATAAATTAAGCTCTGCTTAGAAATACATGAAATGTTTTTTACACTTGGCTCTTATTTATTGCAAATATTTTATTAATTCAAAGAACACTCTACAAATATAAAAAGAGCCATTCCAATTTTGGTTCAAAAGTGAAAACAATAATTCAACAACCACAAACCCTGAAACAAAGAGTTACTTGGGTGTGAACAAGCTTTACCTTTAGCATCTGTTCATTTTCAGCTGCAAACAGGGAAACTGAGCCAAAGACCAACTTAAACAGCTTGAGGTACAGGTTCGAGAGCTCCAGGTTAGAGCCCATTTCTGGCAGGCGGTCAAGGAGATATTCCACTAGGATTGTAGCAAACAGAGCAGAGGTAGTAGGATTTGCCAAGAAGGAGTTGGCAACAATCTGTCAAAACAAGAAAAGAATGTGACAACAATAATCCCTTCCCCCAAGCAGCTTTAAGAGAAAGTAATGAACTTCCCAAAAATGAAACCTGTGTCAGACATTCCAAGAAATTAATTATCCACCAAAGGAAAAAAATGAAATAGGTTTACTGAGCCTTGAGTGGAGCAGTTCAATTTAAGTACTTAATCTGGTATTTTATCCTTACCATGAAATACCAAGAGCCTACATCTAACACGTATTTAATTTCTACTAATAAGAGGAACTGGTACAAAGCATCTTGATCTTTTGGAAAAAATAATTTTAATATTGTGGCCTAATATTTCTCTAAATTTTGCTCTACAAGCACATCTTTACGCACACTTACAAAATCCTCAAAATAAATGGAACACCAAGAATTCAATCAACACAGAATTTTATAGTTAATGTTGAAAGGATATAAGAAAGGAGCTTTATACCTGAAGAGCATAATTTTTCGAGATTCTTTCCACCATATAAGGGACTGTAGTTTGAAAGATTTCTTTAAATGTTAGGGGATTCATCATTGTGAATACACCAGCAAAGTGTTCCAATACCTCCTTCTCTTCCTTCATTCTAACAGTCTGGCAGTTTGCTACTCGAATGTATGTTTGTCCATTTCCAGCTATCTGGACCTAGCATAGGAAAAATCAACCCATGAGCATTAAAACTGAACATGCCTGAATACATTCCATTACCTAATCAGATCAGTTACATACTTAAAACAGAGCACTTGAATTAGACAATAAATACCCCCCTGAAATCTTTTAAATTCTCTATTCTTAGCTTAATTTTAGAAAGTAATTTAAAAAAAAAAAAACACACATTAGGTGTTCCAAAAAGGAACAAATTTAGCAAACTTAAATCTAGTTACTATTGCATTCCATTTAGACCACCTTCCCGCTAAAATACAAACGATGAGACATAAATAAGAATTCTCACCATAAATGCAATGCTGTGCTACAGAACAAAAGCAACCTGGGTATACAAGTACAGCAGACCATCCAAAAATAACTGATCTCTCAAGACCTGTTCCAACAGTGTCAACTCTAACTCTAAGAGATGATTTGGGGGTACTTCTTACCTGATAAATATCTAAAGCCTGCATTGCATATTTCACGAGTTTTATGTAAATCTGAGTTTCTTTGGGCTGTAACTGCTTGTTGGGAATGAACTGAGCTTCTAGAAAAGAGAGAGCATAATAAGTTAATGCGAATAAAACCCACTCTGTGAAAAACATCCTTTTTCTAAAGAATTTAAGAGCAGAATTACCACCAGGTGCTTTACATGACGTTATGCCCCACGTGATTGTCTTGACACCACAGACCAAGGTTTTTACCAAACTTCGACAATCTGTGACTTGGAATGTCTGCTTGTCCTCCTTGTCCTTTTCTCCTTGTTTCTCAAAGGGAGGCACAGGGGCTGGGGTCACAGGGGTGGCGGGTGTGGGG